TAATATGGAAATGGAAATAAGTATGCATAGATCAGTTGCCACACAAATGTTTCAGTTAAGAGATGGGCTACTTCATATATGAGTCATTTTGTTGTAGCGATCCTCAAACCTTTTTCTCTGTTTGTAAAGGATATATATATATATATATATATATATATATATATGTATATATATATATATATATATGTACAAGCAGGCATACATCAATAAATATGTATGCGTGTCTGTGTCTGTGTTTTGCATGGATGTATGTATCTATGTAGCATAAAAAAGCAACTCATCATCGGAGGCGGCCGCGGCAAAAGATCAAAGATTCACTGGGGTGCTAATAAAGTTGCCAGGGCTACAGAGCAGCGCTATTGTTGTTGCTGCTGTTGTTGTTGTTGTTGCTGTTGTTGTTGTGTTGTCTGCGGGAGCGTTGTGTGTAGGTGCTAATTTAGCGACCCCCCGCACAAATACTGAAAACGACGTCGACGGCGACCGCAACTGAGACTGCGACTGCGACGCCCATGGAATGGGTTGGTCTGGCAAAAGGATTTGCACTTTCAAAAGAAATAAACTTCAGATAAGAAACTAAATGTCAAAATTATCTACACACATGAATTGAACGCATTAAAAAGAAAAGAAAAAAGAAAATAACAGAGGACGTAAGATTAACCCCAACCCCTTCCCTTTAAGGATGAGGATGGGGGCTTGGGGCTTATGAGCGGCGAGCACAGCCAAAGTGCAAATATGTGTAGGCAAAAACCACAAGAGCAGTCCGCCCGTCCGTCCGTCGGTCCGTCCAGACAAACAACAAACAACAGGCGAGCAGCGCAGAAGTTCAGGAGGAGGAGGAGAAGGAGGAGGAGGAGGAGGAGCAGCAGCAAAGAGGAGCTGAATGGTTGACTGGCTCGCCTTGCGTCGGGATGCCAAAGTGCATCAGGCACTAAAATGCAGAAAATTGAAACAGGCTTTTGAAATGAAACGAAAAGCGCCGCACAGACGCCGACTGCAAGCAGGTGTGGAGCGGTGAGGGTGACGGGGGCTGAGGAGGGGGGATGGTGGGCTGTTCGTCCGAAGGATGAACGTGCAGGCGAATCATGAGCCAAAAGGAGAGAACACAAAGAGTCAATTAATTAGTAGATGGAGCCATGATTATCGCTATATTAACATTGCAGCAGTGCAACTGCAACAACAGCAACAACAACTTTCAGCTTGAGCCTCAAGTCAATGTGGCAGGCTGCTGCCATTTACTTAAGATAACCGCACGTGTGGCATGGGCCAGTTGGGACAGCTGCGGCTCAAGATTAAGCTGACAGTGTGTGCTTTTGGGCCTTCTGGCATCCAAGTGGAGCGTTCATTAAATGATAACAACGGCCGGCAACAGGCAACTGTGGCAAATGCAACAGTGCCCACCACAGTGATAAGAGGCTAAGAGAGCCAAGAGATAGCAGCAGCAGCAGTTCTTCTTCTTGTTGTTGTTGTTCTTATTCATCGTGGGGTGCTTTAGCTCCTTTGAAATGCAACCGCTGACGCACGCTGCAGGTAGTGAGTGGCAAGGAGAAGGAGAACATGAACAAGAAGAAGAAGACGGAGACGGAGACGGAAACGGAGACGAAGAAGCGGCAACAGAGCTGCACTAATTTATTGAAATTCATTTGAAGCGGCATTAGGGCCAGAAACGGCATGAAAATGAAAATGGATATGAGAATGTAGCTCTCGATACAGTTGCAATTGCAGATGAGGATGAGGCAGCAAACTGTGGCAACTTGTGCTGCATCATTTCCAGGAATTGTAGATCATAAATGACGCCGCCGCCGACGATGCTGAATAATCACACAGTGACGAGAAAACCAAGACAAAAAACCATCGAGAAACACCAAATTTAGTTTTCGATAATAATAAAATTTAAATTGTATAATACAACGACTATATTAATTCTTTCAGTGTATGAATGAGCTGATTTTATCAAAATATATAAATGTCGTACGATGAACAATATTAAACCAAGAATATATATTCCAAGATTAATATTGCTTATTCTAGAATGAAGAAGCTTCGATGAAGTCTGTTGTTTTTTTATGTTCTCTTTTGTGAAAGTTTGTTTTGTAGCAGTTGCACTGATGAGAGTTGCAACCATAAATAGCATCTGCAACAGCATCAATAAGTGCGACAGAATGACAGAATGACTGCGGCCAACAGAAGCTGTAAATGGAATATGATTTAAATACTCACAATACTTGAGGCGCCACAGCGGGCACACTGGCAACTGGCAAGAGACAGCAGACAGCAGACAACAACAGCAACAGCCACAGCAACAATGACACAAGCAAATGGTGCATTCAGCATAATTTATTGCGCAATTTAGCCAAGAACAGCAACAGCAACAAAAACCAGAAATCAGAGCTTTGCTCATTTTATATTTACTTTCATGATTGGCCTGCCGACAATTGAATACCCTTTAAGAGCGCAGATTAAGTTAAACCTATTGAAAAGCCATAGGAATTCATTAGAAACATATTTTCAATGGCCAGGCTTTTTTCGTATTGAGCATATAGAAAATCTTTTTCAAATGTTTAACATTATATTACGTGGTAATTAATCTAGGTGTTCTTAAGCAAATGTGCAGCACTGTGGCAGGAATAATTGTAGTAGTACGTGCTTGCTCAAGCAATAAAAATTGAGGATTACTAATGAGTCACAAACAAAACAAAAAAACGTCAGTCAGCAAATTGGCCAGCTAATTAGGCAATCACAAATTGCACTCCACTCTAATCCAATGAGGATCTGCGGGATACGAGCTATAATTAATATTGAATTGCTATAAAGCGGTAAGCTAATGCCAGAATGACTTATGAATTACTCACTTGCATTGGGTATATCTATGTATGTCTAGTACAGGGAATAGACAACAATGCTTTATTCCAATTCTCATTTTGTTGAATTAGTTTTGAAGTTTTCAATCATTTTAATTTACAATATTCACAGTTGATACCCTGCAAAAGATAAATATTTTTGCTACTTGCTACATGCGCTAAATTAATAGCAAAATCATTACTGTGCGCAATATTGGGGGAACATTTTTATTAAATTAAAATCGAATCGGAACAGAAACCGATAACCTTTAAAACGAGATGTAAAAAGACAACGAACTTGATTCAATTTTCAATATTCATATCTACTTTGCTTAACTTCATATAGCTTAAACTTGTATTTGAATCAAAAATGCATTCTTGATTTTTATTGAATCCTACAAGTTGGTCATGCCGCGCCTTTGAGCATTTCATTTATACGGAGTATACAAAGAAAAAATCGAACACTAAACTGCGCTTTGCATGCACGTAATGAAGATGATGATGCTCAGCCTGAGACTGAGACTGAGGCTGACGCTGAGGATGAGTCGGAGAATGACACCAGAAGGGTGTGGCAGAGGGAGAGGAGGGAGGAACGGAACGGAACGGGATCGGCAAAATGCGAATGGGAGCCGCTTCGTCCAGGAATCGATTTACGTCTTCTGCGAAATATTCATTACAGCAAATTTGTACTGGGAACCGTGAAGGGATGGGGCCAGAAGAATGGGGACTGGGAAAGGAAGATACGAATATAAACTTTTTCTATCTATCTCTCTCTCTCTCTCTCTCTCTGTTTCTCTCTATCCCTCTCTGACTCTTTCTCTTTCTCTTTGCTGCTGGCATGGCTTGCTGCTGGTGTGTCCAATGGGAGCAACATGTTTCTTAACTTTTTATGCGAAATTATCTTTTGATGTTATTATGCATTATGAGACTTTAATGTGCGCAGTTCCTGTGTTTTCTTGCATTTAATTTCGTTGCATGTACAACAATGTGCAACTGCAACTGCAACAGCAACAGGAACAGGTGTGCAGGAGTGCAACCGATGGAACACAGAGTATTTGTATACAAAGTATTAATGGACACTTATCGGCACGCGGAGAAAGAAAGAGAGTGAGAGAGCGAAAGAGAAAGAGAACATTTTCATACAAAGAAAAACTAAGTCTATCAATCGCAGTGATCATAATAATAATGATGATAATGATAATACATGCTGATGACGACTCAATTCAGGCAAATTGAGCAGACGAACAGACAGACAGCCAGACAACCTGAGGACATGAGACAAAAGGAATAGGAACGATATGAGACCGATCCACAGCGATCAAGAGACCCAACTCAAAATTGAATGCACGTTTTTTATTTTAAATATTTTTCTTCTTTTCTTATATATTTTTTTTTTGTTCTCTTCGCATCTTTTTCACTTGGCGTATACCTGTTTCAGCTCAGCTCATCTTAGCGCTGTTGTTGTTGCTGCTGTTCCTGTTTTTATAGTCGCCGTCGCATGAAATATTGCCCCGAAGGGCGGTACGATTTTGATGCATTTACAACATTCAGGGTGTTGGTAATTATAGGGAGTTTATGTCTGGAAGTTTCCTTTATGATGCGCTTTTTGTATTTCAGTTTTTTTGGCTTGTATATTCTTAGTTCTCTTGTCGTTCATATTGTTGTTGTATTTTCGCTGTTGACTGCTGAATTAAGTTACTTGACTCTGGCCCTTTGGCTTGACTTCCTTAGCCAAGTTGACCAAGTAGTCAAAGCGACAGCAATGATAAAAATGATTTTCGGGTGTTGAACATGAAGAATGGTAGCTGAAGAAAAATATGCTAAGATATTTTAATTGTTTTTCCTGGAACAATATTTTTAAAAATCAAGCATTAACAGCTTTTTATAGTAATTTAAAGATCTTGTGTCTAAAAACCAGTTCATTTAGCCATGGTAAATGATAAAATTGCAGTGGTTAATTTAAATTCAATTTTAAATTCAACCGTCATAAAATGATGTTCATTTTGTAATTGCGCGCTCTACAAGTATCGATGTGCACTGTCGACCGACCGCCACAAACGTCGATATCAGAGCGCTGACAACTTTTCGCAGCACTCAGCAAAGAAATATCGATGGCGCAGCGTTGCATTTCGATTAATTGCCTCGATGTTCTACTTGTACATTAAATGAAAATGCGAACGCAATAGAAGCTCACGTTTTTTTTTTTTTGATTGGTGTTTACGAAGTGGTTACGCGTAAATCTACACAGAGGCTAGAATACTTGATGTACAGCGCATATTGCAAAATCTAACTCAAGGTAATTCAACAAATATAACTCCGATGCTCACACGATGAGTGTGCAAAAAAACTCGATGCACAGCACCAGAAATCGCAACCATTTTAACTGACTATCCTGTCATTCGTCGGTATGTGCCTTTGTGTGTGTGTGTGCGAGTGCATGTTTTTGTATATATTGTCAAAAAAAAAAAATTTAATTGGGTTGAGTGCACCCCTATCCCCTCTCTCCCGCACCCACACACCTCTGCCCCCATTTCCAGTGTGTTTATGGCAGCTGCACTGTTGCGGGGCTCACACGACGACACACACGCACACAGATAGACATACATATGTATATATATATGTATATATATACAAAGACAAAACACAACAATGTTGCTGCTGCTGGGAGTGCAGCCCAATATGGCAGCACATGAACTTAAACTTAACCTCAAAATGGAAAGAGCAATCAGCGCTTGCAAAGCTTGCTCTCTTCGGGCAGCAGCGAGTCGCAGTTCGCAGAGTGCCAATGAACGTCTGTCTGAACAGATTTGACCCCAAAAACAACACAGAAATAGCATCAGAAGCACCACGCACTTAATGCCACCATCAATTATAACGAGCACGTTTCGAGTGCAACAATAACAATAACAATAACATCGCAACAGCAACACTGGCAGCATCGACCAACATGAGTCTGACGATCTTCGTCAAAGCAGACAAGCAAATTGGCTGCTTGTTGCCAGATTCCGCTTGATTCTGCTGTGTCTCCATGACGCATGTGTTTTGATCAACCTCTGAACTCAAAAATACACAAATCAGCTGTGAGGCGAATGCAGCCTGGTTTCTGTGCTGTTGTTGTGCAGGGATGTTGTGCATTCAGGATATATATCAATATATATATATATACATATATATGCTATGTAGTATATATATATATATATATATATATATATATATATGCATATATACATATGTATGTGCATATCTGGGACGCGCAATCGCAGTTGTCGACACTGTTTTTAAATTGAAATAATTTTGCATTATCTGCTCTATTAATTACTACATAACTTACTGCTTAATTTTGCTTTGAATTAATTAGAAGGAAATTGAATTCATCTCTGAAACGAGAAACGAGAAAAAAGATTTGAGACGAGCTAGAACAACAAGATCGACAACAACATAAACAAACAGAAACAAAAGCAAGAAGGATAGTTTCCAAACAGGTGGGTAGCACAAGGGTTGCAAGTGGGTGTGGCAAACAACAAAATTGCGAATAGTTGGCAATGTTGTACACACAGTTTTAATTAGTATAGTGGGTCATTGTTTGCTGGAATATGCATTCGATGAGTTTCAAATTCAATAAAAGAAACCTTGAAAACTCAAAACTCGAAACTCGATAAGCAGAACATCGACGTCAAATCTGTTTTCAAAATCAACAGCACACGTTGTAATCAGTCAAGCACTATCACAAAACACAAATCACGAAAGAAAAAAACAAAACCTGAAAAAAGTTATCAATGGAGAAGCGAATAAATAAAAGCAGTAGCAACAAAAACAATAAATTAACAAAAGGGCAACTGCGGACGATGAAAATCACTGCGACAGCAACAACTGCAATAAAAAAAAACAGGTGGCGGATAAGTTGTTCGTTGGGATGGATATTAAGCGCTGCAGCTACAACTGTGATAAGCACAGTGTCTCTGGTCATTGGCTGCGTCCTTGCTACAGTCTTTCCAATTTCAGTGTGTGTGAGGCAAGTGCCCGGACAGCCGCTGGGTGAGTTGAGTTGCAACGGCAACAGCGACAGCTACAACAGCGGCGCCATGGTTAAGAAACGCCAAACGGATAAACGGGAAAGCGCCAGCTCAACCGAATCTGGGGAGGAGGAGCTGCTAAATGGACACCAGCATCACCATCATCATCATTCGGGCGGTGGATCGTCGAGCAACGCAACCGTTTGCCAGCACATCAAGAAATCAGTGGATACGGCGCGATTGCGTCGCCAACTAAAGACCACTGGGCTGCTCTTTGAATGCGGACAATGTCCCAAACTGGATGCGAACAGTGCGAGCAGCGGTGGCGATGCCACCGAATGCGAATACGACAACACGCTCTGGCTGTGCCTCAAGTGCGGCACACAGCTGTGCGGCCGTGCACGCAACCAGCACGCTCTCCAACATCATCAGGTAAGACACCGACGACCAGCAATAAACCTGCATTATTATAACATGTGGAAATTTTGTTCGCAGACACCCCATTCGGACTCGCATGCGCTGGCCTTGAATACGCGCTCATTTAAGATCTGGTGCTATAACTGCGACAGCGAGGTGAGCGCCAAGTCGCGCAAGAATCTGCTCGAGTGCGTCGAGCTGGTCAAGCGACTTGCCCAGAAGCCGCCCAAGGTTGTTCCCGCCGCTGCCAATGCTGCCGAGTCGTTGCCGGACCCACGTTCAGAGTCAGTAATAATACATCCGACAATGATCAACGACATTGCATACAAAATCCAGACGACGGTGGAACAGATCAATACGATGGTGAACATTGCGTGCGGCGAAGCAATACCATTGCCACCACCGTTGCCACCACCACCGCCGCAGGCACAGGCAGTGCCTGGCATGGCCAAGCGTCCGACGACAACAACAGCAACATCAACTGCGACCAGCCAATACAGGCCACAGGTAGCGCCAGTGCTGTCGTCCAGCACACAGCTGGACCGTTTGCCGCGCGTTCGTGGTCTCATCAATTTGGGCAACACGTGCTTCTTCAACGCCGTCATGCAATGCCTCGCCCAGACACCCTTCCTCCTTGCCGTTCTCAAGGAGCTGGCCGAGCCAGGCGAAGAGTAAGTAACACAGTCTATTCAAACACGAAGTTTGTGAATCAGTCAAAGGCAAAGTGTTGCACCGTTCCTCCATCTGTCTGTCTTTCTGTCTTTACCAAGCTGCTCTCAGAGCCAATGGATTTATATATAGTATTTATCCATTCTCTTGCTGCGCATTTATTTAACTAATTATATATAAAATGAATGAACTGAAGGCTGCACCTCTTTGTGCAATGTGTCTTTGTGTCGCATGTCTGACTTATTTTTATAATCTTGATTAGTTGTTGTATTAAGACTCGTACACATGAATGCAATAATTGCAAATTGTTATATATTTTAGACGATATGATCAGACAAACAACAATACTAATATATATATATGGTACTCTCAGTAGATCCCTCGGTAATGGTTGGTCTTCTTTTGCTCTTTTTAGGTTTGAGCTGCCCGGCGGTACTTTCAGCTTTAAGGGCAAGGGCGACATCGAGCTGCCGACCATCAGGGGTACTCTCTCCTCGTGGGGCAATCTCACTGCGGCACTGGCCAATGCGCTCGAGGAGCTGCAGTCCGGCGGCGGCGTCTATACGCCCAGCAAACTGTTCGATAAGCTGTGCGCCAAGTGTCCCCAATTTACGGGCGGAGATCAGCACGATGCCCATGAGCTGTTGCGTCAGCTGTTGGAGAGCGTACGCGCTGAGGATTTGAAGCGCTATCAGCGTGTCATCCTGCAGAATCTGGGCTATAAGGATCAGGACATTAACAGCGTATCCGAGGAGCTGCGGCAAAAGTGCAAGATCTATGGCAATCAGGCAGCCGATCGCATCCTGCGTCCGGAGCAAGTGTTTCGCGGCTTTCTCGTCTCGACGCTAACGTGCCAGGACTGCTTCAATGTGTCGTCACGGCACGAATACTTCCTGGACATGTCGCTGCCCGTCGCCGTCGAGAAACCACAGCCGCCGCAGCGTCGCAAAACTAGTCCCGAGCATTCGCCACCCACCTGCAGCAAATACTGCAACAACAACAACAACAGCGGAAGCGGCGTGGACGTCATTGCCAAGTTTGGCATCGGCGACATGGATGTGGTTTTCACAGAGCACACGTCGTTCTATCTGCACGCCGATGGCCAGGATCAGTTGGGGCCGTCCAAGGCCCAGGTGAAGAAGGAGAAGGAGCGCGAACGCAAGGCGAAGCGTGCCGCCAAACACCAGCGCACCAAGCTGGCCCAAAAGCTGCCCGTCAAACTCAACTTTAACGATCAGCTCAGCAACGAGGCCAGCTCCAGCAGCAGCAACAACAGCGGTGCCGGTGATCATCGTCACGCCAATGACGAGCAGCAGCAGCAGTCCGGCAGTGGTGATGGACAAGTGCAGACGCCGCTCTCCTCAGCGGACATCGATGGCGACAAGCCACGCTCGACGCCCTGGGGCGAGGGTCAGCGGGCGGACACATTATCGCTGAGTGGCACCACATCCGAGCATACGGATGCCGATGTCGAGGACAATGTCGCTGAGGATTCGGCCGGGCCCGGACGCGGTGCCAAGTTCTATAAGGACAACAACGGCAATGCCCAGCCGCTGGGCGAGAAACATGGACATGGACACATCGAGCACATGGACAAGGACTCGCTGGAGGAGGACGAGAACGGTGAGTCAGCCAAAGAAACTCATGTTGCACACATGCATACAACGTATATAGCAAAGTTGAATAGCTGGCAGATATACGATATATATATTATTCTGTTAGATGTTGATAGGTTCAGGATATCGATTCTATCAAATTGCATATGATTATATATATATATATATATATATGTATACAAGTTGAATGTATCAGCAAATTACACATATCTGTATCTAGATTGTAAAGCAGGAAACAATTGTATATATGTATATATATATATATATAATTTGTACATATATATTTAAATTAGTGACTTCTTTGTTTTTGAACTAAGCACTTGAGTTTTTCAAACGATTTTGGTTTGCAGTGATTTGATTTTATTTTATTTTACTTATTTTTTTTGTTATTTGAGCAAACGTAAAATTATCAGACGACATTGATAAAATTGTTAGTGCTATTCTCCAGTTGATATAGGTAAATCTATATATATTTTATCATTGCGATTACTGTGCCTGTGATGGGACAGAGACAGCAATTTGAATACACTTGCACACACATGCATCATACCATCTCACTCACTCACTATGCTAACGCTTGTGCTTACAGACTCGGGCATAGCCACCAGTCCGGCGCCGACCACAGCCACCAGCACCACCAGCAACAGCATCAGCAACAGCAACAGCAGTGCTATCAGCTCCATCAGCAACAATCGAAGCAGCAAAAATCCAGCTAGCAGCTTGAGTGTTGATAAAAAGAATGCAGCAGCAGCAACACCAGATGATAAGGATAATGACAACGATGGGAGCACAGCGACAAGTCTGGTGAGTGCTGGACTGAGCGAGGAGGGTGCATCGCTGATACGTCAGCTGTCAGCGGGACAGCTGCAGCTGCAACTACAAATGGAGCAGCTGACGTTGCGCGAACAGGCCAAGTCGGTGGCAGGCTTGAAGCGAGTGCGAACCCAAAGCTACTCGGACTGGAGCACAACAATAGCGCCGCGGTATCAGTGCGAGGTTGGTGAATGCTCGGTGCCATCCTGTCTGAATAACTTTAGTGCCGTCGAGCTGATGACCGGTCAGAATAAGGTCGGCTGTGAGAGCTGCACGCGTCGCATCAATGGCACCGATCCGCAGGCCAAGTCGGTAAATACGAATGCTACAAAGCAGCTGCTGATATCCAGTCCACCGGCGGTGCTCATACTCCATTTGAAGAGATTCCAGCTGGGGCCGCGTTGCGTCTTTCGCAAGCTGACCCGCCCGGTAACCTATACGATGCTGCTGGACATTGCCGCCTTCTGCGGCTCCAAGGTAAAGAATTTGCCCAACATTGATCGCAAGCAGAAGAAGTTGCTCTATGCGCTCTACGGCGTTGTCGAGCACTCCGGCGGCCTGTACGGCGGACACTATACCGCCTATGTGAAGGTGCGTCCCAAGGTGACACCAGATGACAAGCGATGGAAATTTCTGCCGCACGGCAGCAAGGCCGAACTCGATCAGGACGATGAGCAGCTGAAGAAGCTCGAAGAGTCGCTGGTCAAAAGCAAGGCGCGCGAGATGCGCAGAAATGCCATGGATGACAGCGATGACTTTACCAGCTCCAGCAGCAATGCATCCACCTCAGACGAGGCTCTGTCCGATCTACCACAGAATGGCATTAACGATGATGAAGATGCAACTGCCACATCCACAGCCACAGCAACTGCCAGTGATGCGGCTGATGCTGATGCTGCCGCCGGAGATCAGGCGCCTGGCGAACCAGACGAGGCGGCCAATGTTCAAGCACCGCCCGGCAAATGGTATTATGTATCGGACTCACGCGTCCAGGAGGTCAGCGAGGAGGCGGCCCTCAAGGCACAGGCCTATCTGCTGTTCTACGAGCGCATCTATTAAGCAAATGCTCACACTCTCTCCCCCTCTCACTCTCTCACTCGCGATGGTTGAGAGAGGACAGCTGTCCGTCCAGCGCAGGCGGGAGAGGGCGGAATGAACACCTTCATCCATCGTTCCATTAGCTCTTAGCAAAAGTTAATATTTTTTAGCTACGTTTTTTTTTTACACTTTATTTTCAATTCTTCAACCCTGTTCCTGGATATTCTTTTGTTATTATCCTTGAATTGCATTTTGGACGCGTCAGCGTAAAGAACAACGACGATGATGCACTGAAAAGTGACGCAGAACTGAAGAGTGTCAGAAATGCATTTTGATTTTCATAATGATTTGAACAGCAGCAGGCACTACACACTACACACGTCCAACACAACACACATCCAACACACACACGTCCAACACACACACACACACACACACACATTTGCTGCAAAATTGACTAGTTATTTGACATTTAGTTAATCAAATTTTTTGGTATCAAAATTGAGAATGTTTGGGGCCGAGAAGAAAAGGCATTTTACATACACACATACACATACATACATACATACACCTCAATACAAGAAATTAAAATAAATATGATTATTTATTTGATGATTATAATTATAACGATTACGCGTCGACTATGCTATTCAATACATATGTTTACAATAAATAAGTGCAAAAGCATAGCAATCGCCAACTGAAGCAGTTCCACGTGTGACTTCTTAACTTAATTTTTAAATGATGTCTCTTTATCTGTTTTGTACATTTTATTAGTCTTAAGTTAGTCGCATATACATCTTATACACATTTGTAGTCTGTGGTCCAAAATTGATACGAAACGAATGCCTCAGAAGATGATGGAACGTTACTTAAAAAAAAATACTAAAAAAACAGAAAAGATACAACAAAAACAAATGAAAGAAACATGAAGCAACATCATACTTTTTGTGATGATGGGTTGACTTCGATTTCCGTGCGTGTCTTTTCTTCGAAACTGATTTGTAATTTTAAAGTTGAAAGTGTTTCAGTTGTATGATTTACAATCAACGAAAACAGAAAACAGAAAACGAAAACCTCCCGAATTGCTCGCTTCTGCCAATATATATTTAAATGTATACCCAATAAATATAAATTCACACACACACGTATATATATATATATATATATATATATGTATGTATATGTGACATTAAGTCAATGGTTCTATTCTAAAATAACTTGATCCATGTAGCAACAAGCATTCAACTTCTCAAATTGTTTATGGAAATTGCAACGATATTTATACAAGAGTCTAGAGGAAAAAGAAAACAAATCGAACTAAATAGTCTACACTTATGTATTTATACACATTTATCTTATTACTTAGGTTATGAAATTCTATTTAATTTAACATTATACACATTTATCTTATTACTTAGGTTATGAAATTCTATTTAATTTAATCATTAATGTGTATAATATTCAAATTGAATTATATATATACAAATGTTTTTAATTTAATTTAGTTCCAAATTTTCTATTCGATCTTGATCTTTTTGTGTATAGACGCGCGAAGTATGCTTTATAAAAGATAAACTTCAGATTTCAAATCGTGTAGCGAACTTTTTGGCGTTTAAAACTAAAGTAAACATCTTGGAGACACAATATCGCAGCTGCGAACCGATTCAATATATAGAACGATAAGATTACATAAAACATCTACATGTGCTTCCTATAAGCGTCAAGAATTTCAAGGATCTAAATGTTAAACAAATGAGAAGCGGAAAAAGAAATAAATACGAATTGGTTGCTGTCTTCGCTAGCCTAGCCCGAAGACGTAACATATTAGTTAAATGTGGTCTGTGTTGTTTGTTGCACTCTGGTGCCAAGCAAGCCTAAATAATAAATAGCTCTTGAGAGCTGCTCAACACCTTTCGAATCTGCAAGCAATTATATCGGTGTTTCCTTCCATATGAATGTGTTAAAAATGAATGAATGAAAACCAAAATAAAAATCGAATACACGAAAAAAAAGCTTAACTTTATTATGTACACATAGACAGCATTGTTTTCATAATTGTTAATTGTTAATTTAAATGTAAATGTCAGTGTTGGAGGACTAGGAGTGATTCTTCAAGAGATACTCGTAGACGTAGTCAAAGGCTAGCAGCATGATGGCACCACCAGGACCCAGGCGCATGATCTTCGGCACCAGGCCCTTGTAGAGGGCGCGAACACCCTCCTCGCTGTAGACAATACCGATTGTCCTCATGGTGCTGCGATATTTGATCACAGTTGGCACCGGTTGCGGTCCCTGGATGCGGGATTTGGCCACATCGAACGGTATGTTGACCAGGCAGCCAAGCGTACCGGCCGTAAACCCAATGGCCACTTTGCGCAGAAACTCCCAAACTTTGTCCTTGGGCTCCGGCACCGCGTTCTTCACACTGTGAAAGAATCCAAAGTATATCATGTTGAAGACACCATTGCGACCCATTGTCGCCGTTACGCCCTTGTTCAATCCTCGCAGTCCGATGCCATCGCGTTTGACTATGTCGCGTGCCACCTCGAAGACGCCAGCACCTTGTCTCTGGCGATTCGCCTGCTGCGCCACCTTGACCACCTCGAAGGGATTGACGGCAATCGCCTCCAGCAGACCGGCCGTCAGCCCAGCCATCGAGAAAGTGAATGGCGTCGGAGTCGGCGATCCAAATAGAAAATATTGTTTCGACTGCTCGAATATCAAAAACTTGATGGCCCTCTTTGGTGTTTCGGCCAGAACGGGCGGAATCAAGCCCTTCCAATACGACGCCAGGCCCTCCTGCCGATACATCTTGGCAAAACAGTCGAAGACGCCATTGTAGTGCGCCTGCAAATGGGATTCAAAATCAATTTAAGAGTATCTGCTAAATGTGGCATAACTAAGAAAGAACTCTCCTCCAACAACTTGAGCATTGCCTGAATTTCTCTCTCAGTGTGTCTGTGTGTGTGTGTGGGTGTGCATGAACAATTAACATGTTGCATCTATTTTCAAATTGTGACAAATATTACTTAGGAGTACAATATGGTTATTAATCGTATATAAATATAGAGAAATTGTCTCCGCATATGAAGCGTATTTGGCAAGAATAATAAATTGTGTATATATATGATTCAAAGATTGAAAGATTCAAATAAATGTGTCCGAAATGTGCAACTAATAATTGTTGTAGAAGTTTGGAAAACTTATCAGTCTGAGACAAAAACTGCTCAACATTAACTGATTAAGCAGGAAGCAAGAGCAATCTTATTCATTTCAAAAACAGATCATAAATATTAAAATAATCTGTGCATCTGTGGGGTATACAAATCTGGGCTGACTGCTGTCAGCTAAAAAACAAGACCAAAGAACACTTTCACTTACACTAAAACACTAAAACTATATTGTTAGTGCCTTTGAATGTGGCATGCGGTTTGATGACAATAATAAGAACTTAATCGCCGAGGCGAGATAAGTTCACTCGACATGTGTGAAAAGGCGCGCAGACGATAAGACAAGGCACTGATACCCTATAGTTAAGAGTCTATATAGATGTATGTACATATTTGTGTATCTATGTATCTTTATTAATATAATAAACTATCAACACTCATCAGCTGTTAGTTGGTTTTTGCTCTTGTCGCATAGCTATACATATACATTTATCATTTATATATATATATTTAGTTGATTGCCACGAAAGTATTTCTGTGCTGCAATTAACCTTGACACGACCTTTCCAAATATCTAGCATAAAGTAATAAGAAACAAGCATGTTTCTTGAATACTCTTCTTGCTCAGCCTATCAGCTGCTTAGTAGTTGTCCCTCACAATCTATATCGCTTATGGGTCTGGTCATAAAAGGCGTCTGGGTCTGGCTGGGTCTTATCAATAAAAACACATTCCGTATTTACGCATTTGTACGAATGTTGGATCTTGGCGAAGGTTATGCACAGGCCTCTGAAGCCGAACGTTTTATGTCTGACACTCCCTCACTCGCTCTCTTCTTTTTTAACATTGTTTTGTTCTCAAGCGTCTCTATTTACATTTGATTTGAGAGAAAAGCTTTCTACAGCTGATTGCTAACTTGGATTTGGCAGTGGAGAGAACATAACTGACTTACCTCTATGGCGGTGGCGCCGACTCCTGGAATTCTCTGGATTTGCATGCGTGTCTTCACCACGTCGAGGGGCTGCATGATGCAGACTTCCACAAATCCGGCAGAGCCGCCGGCTAACACCTGGAACACAGCTCTGCGCCCCGTCGATATCTGATGGGGTTGGTTGGGCTGAGCAGCCATTTCTTAGTATTCTTCTTTTCCGTTTTGCTGTCTAAACAAAAAATCAATAAAATCTGGCACGCTTAAGAGTAACAAGTATGATTTTGCGACTTTTCTCAAAACGATTCGGAATGAGAAAGTCTCGGCACAGATATTTGTTGTTTGTAGTTGTTTGCACTCACAAAGTTAAAAATGCAACGCTCGCTTTGTTGCCAGCTGTGTTCTCTCTCCAACAACAACAATGACAAGAACAACAACTACTTCTAAGCTCTCGCACCACTCTCAAACCACAAAACACAAAACAAAAATAACAACTCAAAACTGAATTGAGAGCAAGCCTCCCCAAAGCAGCCGGGCGCGCTCCTCGACAACTCGACAACTCAATTTGCACTGCGACCGGGGGACAACCAACCAAGTTGAATTGTGTGCCGAAAGTGGTCAGTCCCAGGGCGTGGGCTGGGGCTGGAATCGAGGTGGCGGCGAGCGAAAAAGCTTTCAACAACGCCGCTGCCATCGCTTGCTGGAAGAGCTTCTCGCGCCTGCTGCGGTTGTTACTCCCACCTCCACACAATGGTGATTCTATTCCGATTCAATCGAGCCAAAAGCTCTCAATGACGATCGACCACCATCTGGCATGCTCTTGTTTTATTTTTGTTTTATTATTATATTTTTTTTGTTTTATTGTTTTTGTTCTAATTCTCTTGCTCTCACAGCACGAATGAGAGAAGCTCCAGCTGAGCCAAAAGCTCATTCGACCAAGCACAGTGACTGATGATGCATAGCAATCAGATTAAATGTGGATATCAACAGCAAGAATTTTGATAATAAAAGTGAATGCGCCGATCTAGTATAATTATTTTGATATGAACATGCTGATAAGATATATACACAAACTGATTTGTATGATAAGCGACTGCTGCCTGCTGCCTTGCTGTCTCTGACTGCAAATCTGTATGTAAGTTGAAGAAGAAGAAGCCGTCTCTGACCATGTGCGAAGCGCTTGCTTCACACAATTATCTCATATCCACACACATATACATGTATATATATATATATACATATTCATATGTCTATGTATGCGTCTGTTCGCATTTGACACATTTTGTTGTTGTTGATAACTTTTGCACAACTTTCGCCTTTTCAATTGCTGAGAGAGACTTTTAATAGTCGGAGGGTGCCATTAAAGGAAACTTCTCCAATCCCATATGGTACATTTATTCCTAATGGGCCGATATATCTGTCATTCAGCTTGTTACTCAGCTCTAAAGCTATCATTTCCATCCATTTGTCAAAGCCAGCCGGATCAGAGCGATGACAAAGAGTAATTGTGTGAAAAGCTTCTTTTGCTAACCAAATTCACAGGCTACGAGTGCTCTTAAGCTATAAATAATTGATCAAAAAATGATTAACACATGAGAACACTCGATTGGGTTTTTGAACTAAATAATTCAACTTGAAATAAATAATTCAAAGAGACATGAGCAGCTGGACTTTGATCACGGCGAGATATCTGTCGACGATTCTTGCAAACATTCAAAATATTCTCTTTGTTTATTTGGCGTTTTTTTAAAATCTGCAAAATCATTGGCTCCGTCAATGAAGCTTGACACCTAACTGAAGGGATCGCGTCTATCGCATCCATTAGATGGCTAATCCCTCTGGTAAATGTCAGGCGACAGCACCCATGTCAATTTGTGGATCGGTACTAACATACCAATGTATATAAACATATATAAATAATAAGAAGAAAGACAAACGAATCGTTTGACAAGTGTCTGTGTGTGTATCTGTAACTGTCAGGTCGCAAGTATATCTGGATGCAGATGCAGATGCATCTGTTCATCTGGCCATCTCGGCCTCTTGATTAGTTTATTGTTTATTGTTCATAGTGCGCCGTATGCGGCGCATCAATCAGTTTATGGCGGCAGGGGCACAGCACCAAGTTTATGTTGAAGGAACGAATATGAGTTTTAGTGCCCAGGTAAATACACATATACATATGCATATTTATATATATATATATATATATATATATATATCAGGTCGCTAAGTGAGCGCTGTCTATGTAGCTGCATCTGTATCTGTATCTTTGTGACGTCTGGTGGTATCTGTGTGAAAGATTGAGGACAACTTTCATTTGCATAAAATGCATTTTATAACAAATTGACAGAACAAATTGTTGGTGTCAAAAATGCGTTACGCTTGACTGGATTCCCCATCTATGATTTAGATGCCCATCTTACTCTGTCTTCTCCATGCTCCATGCTTTTGTCTTATGTCTGTCCAAATATTTCTAGATGTTAATTAAAGGCACGGGTTGGCTTGTGTGATATTTAGATAATGTGGAATTTTCGAATAGCTAGCATATCGAGAGATCGAATGATCTTTCTCCAAAGTTTCTCCAAAAACAAAAAACCCGACTACTTCCACGAATAATGCTTTAATTTTCTGGATGAATTTAAAACGCATCAGAGACCATTAAAAGCTCATAAAGTTAAGGGAACCCATAAAGATACTTTTCATTTTAAGTGATCTAATTATGTTGTAAAGTCACGCAATTGATTGGAGATCGAATAGAGAACAGAGGCACTGAGAACCCATTTGCAATGATATATGTGTGTAATATGGTTGTGGCATAAATTGCCGCCTAAGCAGAACACTTAATAATCGATATGAATGAATGGAAATACATTCATGCCTGTACATCGATATAAATAGACTATGAAAATCATTTTCAATTCTTTCACACAACTACTTTCGAAGCTTGGCTGGAGATCGAATACCGGGGGCATCTTCCGAGGGCATCTTCCACAGAACGATGCACAGTTAATCTAGCAAAATGATTTTATTTTTTGTAATTAGCCAGCAAAGAGAGCCAAAGCGAGAGAGAGAGAGAGAGAGAAAGAGAGAGAAAGAGAGAGAGAGAGAGAGAGAGAGAGGAGAGATCAAGAACAAGAGCAGGCACCAGCAGAATATATATTTTTGTTTCGGATAGCGCCGATTGATCGATCAAAGCTGCGACCCAACCAGACTAATAAATCATTTTTCCATTCTCATTTCCATCATTTCCATCATTTCCACATTTTCCCCCAAGTAAAGTGAGAACTCACGACCAAGAGCCAAGAATAAAGCACCGCCCGTGGCCGTCCAATTGTCTGTCAAAGGCTATTAACCCCATTTTTGGCGGTGCTCGTTCCACTTGTTCCACTCCGCTCCACTCCACTCCACTCCACTTCACTCTCTCTCTGTGGTCATGTTTAGTTTGTCAGTTTTTTCGACCACCCTCTTTCTACCTGTCCCCTTCCCTTCCCCTCCCCTCCCCACCTCTCCTCTCCCCTCCTATCCCCACTAGCACACACACATTTTGTGCGTCTTGAGAAATAAGCAACTTGTAAGTTGCCCAAATTGTTTTTCCAAACAGCGATCACTAAAAATCGGAAAAATGTGGAAGCGTGGAGCCAAATGTGAAACAAAAGACCGAAAAACAGGCACTTTGGCTCTGGTTGGGACAGCATTCAAGATTCCCATCGGATCAGAACAGAACTGAACTGAACAGAACAGATTTGTTTTGATAGTCCAACTCAAACCAAGCACAAATAGACTGTGGCATGTCTCGGACTTGATGCTTGAATGGAGGCAGGCTCAGGCACATTCCAACTGTTGCCGCTAACCGCAAGAAAGCAAATCAGTTAGAGTGTTTTGATTAATGTCAGTTTTGACAGCTGTCCAACATGAAGATCTCCCCGACCCCCATCCCAACTCCTCTTGACGACCAGGCTCTTTTTCTCTTCCTCTCTTTCTCTCTCTCTCTCTCTCTATTTCTCTAAGTGGAACAACTGGAGCCCATCTCTGCTCCATTAGCAGATAGCCAAAGACAGCCCAGACATCAGAAGCCAATGATTTTCGATTAACTTACGTCTAACATTTATTTGGTCTCATTTGGGCATTTTGTCTGTGTTTTCCCAATCCTTGCCACAAGTGCTTGATCAACTTACAATCTATTATATATTGGCTCTTAAAAACTTTGCCATGTTATTTGTGATCGATTATGATGAAAAATGTTCCCAATTATGAAAGTATCAACCTCAATGGCCGGAATGCTTCGCTAGCAATATTAAATATTAGCTTGGAAATCATTGATAGATAATATATTAAAACTTTAAACTAAAATTGAAATTAAAAAGTTGATTCGTAATTCGGATTGAGTACCTTGATGAAAGTTCATTAAATTATTCAAGTGTATAACATGAAAATGATCCACTAAGATCCGTGAAGACCTTTGGGTCCCAAATAAACTGTCGTCTGTCACACAACAGCGATGTTAAAGCCATGTTGAGCGCAGCATAAACATGGCCAACAGAAAACCACTTGAGCCAGCTACTGGTCAGCTTTTAAACGTATGTGGATCAGCCCCACTGAACTTGGCGACCCGCTGAGAACAAGTTGGTCGCATTTTTGCAGCGGGGCCATTAAACGAAAGTACGATTTAGTTAGGTGAAGACTGAACCTGAACCTGAACCAGAGCCAGAACTGTGCCACAATGTGTGGTGCTTGGTGGCTGGCTTATAAAGTGGCCAGTTGATTTGGCTCTTTTGGCCATTTGATTAAGCGAGATACTTGCGAATGGCGGCCCTCAGAAGTTGTTGGACCTTGGCGCTGCTACGGCTGCTAAGCGCACTGGATGGGACCTGGAGCTGGACTCCCACACGAATGCCGTATTCGTTGGCCAGCAGCTATTTGAATGCGGCACAGCGACCACTGTGGATACTCGAGGATGAGCTGATGAAGCGCCAGGCGGCAGATAGGCAAGAAGCAAATGATAACGCAATCGGCATGCGACGTGGACTCAATCGACGGCGCCAGGAACGAGAGCAGGTCTATGTTCCCACAGCGATAACGATACGCTTGCGCTCGGATTCGAGCGACGAGCTGGTGCCGAAGCCGATGCCGCCTCAGGCGAGACCCATTATCCTACCGCACCGGCTGCAACTGCCCAGCCATTATATGCAGCAGCTTGGCGAGGCGCCACTCTTCAAGGGGAAGGTGAAGGCGCCACACTCAAGGGGCAAGGCGAAGAAGAAGGAGAAGGCGCAGCGACGTCGCCAGCCGCAATCGTTGCCCATTTTTGATAGTGCGCCCGGTGACAATGCTCTGCCCACATCCAGTTATCCGATCTTTGTCTACAATGGGAGCAGGGGTGAACTGTTGCTGAATACGATGCTGAGTGCTCGACGCTATCCAATGCAGGAGCCAGTGCCCGGCCAGGTGCTCTATCCACCGTCGACACCCATGTTTCGGCCGAAGCCGATAGTCGAGCGTCTCCGTCTGCCCGGAAAGCGGGAGCTGCTTAATCTGACGCTGATACCCTTCTATGCACACGAGGCCATAACCCCAACAACAATAGAAGCGACGACAGGAGAGCCAAGCGAAGATCCAGATCTTGTTGTTGCTGCAACTGAAAGTGAGCCAATAACCACACCGATGCCGCCCACACCCAATGAGACACAACTGGCAAGCGGCAAGCGCAAAAGGAAGTCAAAGAAGGCGAAGCAATATAGTGCATATCACTCGCCACAGGAGGTCGTGCAGTGGCAGCCCGAGTTGCGCACATCCCCAGCACTGGAGGCGCCCGACAATCATCGTCAGCATGAGGTTGCCACAACCAGCGAGGGCAGCGCACAGCAACAGGAGGAGCAGCTGCAGCTGGAACTGCAAACGGGCCTCGAAGAGCCCAGCCAGGAGCTGCAACAGTCGCCCAATCTGATCGAGGAAACCACCAGCAGCAGCAGCAGCAGCAGCAGCAGCAGGGACAGCTCCACTACCAGTTACAGCTCCACCTCCGGTTCTAGCACCAGCTCTAGCTCCAGCTCCAGCTCTTCCTTTCAGATTATCTATGTGGATGAGAGTTTGGAGTCACCTTCAGATTCGCTGGCAAGCACCACAGCAGCACCACCGCCACCACCACCACTACAACAGCAACAGCGCCATAGTTCCCGCTTTGCTCTCAAGCGAGAGTATTTTGCCTTTCCCGTTTACACTCTAGGTAAACTGCTGCAGCATCCCCATCGCAAGGCAACAACAACGCCAACAATGCACGGAGGCGAAGTCCGTGATCTGGAGCTCGACTGCTCGGAGAGCTCTAAGGAGCATAGCGATCATAACACCTGGTTTATCTTGAATTCGCGGTGAGTTGCCAATGGATGGGGAGGGGCTAATCTTGAGTCATTCATCAAATTTACCGCCTTGCAGCTACAAAGGACCCCATCACAGTGGCCAGAGCAAGGGTTCAACTAACTATTATACATCCAAGTATATACAGAGTCCATCCTCAGTAACAAGAACGTAGTACAACATGAATTTAGTCAACCTGCATGTGATTCAAATACTCTTCTTTTTTTTTTTTAGATTTAAGAAATAAATGATGGTTTGCTTATCTGTTAAACTTCTATCGTTCTTTTTGCTGATCTTTTTGCAAGTTTCATTATTTTTATAAGAGCTGAACGATTTTGTTTTGTAATGAAAAATAACTCATCGCATAAATACACTCCTTTCGATTGTCGGTCGATTATTTGTTTTTAATTATTTTAAGAGTGATTTCCACTTAGTTGCTCGCTCATCTCACACAGTCTGTGAACGGATCTCGCAATTCGTTTGGTGCTTACTTATTAATGATCTGACATGCTCATCACAATTACCTTCACCAAATTGTTGTAAGCTGTTCTTAACAGATCAAGCCACCAAACCTGATCACCTGAAAAATAGCCATTAAATATATACATAGTTAAACACCTCGCCTTTTTTAACGGCTCATGTGCTGTGCTCAGCACTATCATTAAAACTCAAGTCTCATTAACACCTCAATGCATACATACATACATACATCTGTATGTATGTGTCTCTGCTGACCTTTCTTATAATGCCATCAATAATACTCGGCTATCTATTGAAAATGTTTACCATCCATAAAAAATGGCAATAAATTCCTGCGGACACAAAGACGATTCTTTACTCCCTTTTGGAAAGTTGTCATAAAATGCAGTTTTAATGACCGAACAACTCAATCGAAGCCAAAGAACCAATTGTTGTTGTTGTTGTTGGGTTGGGTTGGGTTCCCTATTCAGATTGCATAAGACACTAATGGGTGGGGGAAGGGGGATGAGAGTTGGAAGAGCTGGCAGAGCTGACAGACCTGCGTGCAAAAAGTATCATGATGGCCATTGGGGGGGATTTTCCAGCAAACAACAAAATGCTGACTGACCTAAATTCCGGGATCCAATACAAATCAAATTCCAAATGTGTGAAAAGCGGGAAAATAAGGAGAGAGAGAGAGAAAAAATCGAAATACAAATAAAACCGAGAAATAGTCATCTACAAATATTTATGGCTAATTCAATGGCTTGTGCCCTATTCAGACAAAACAAAAAAAACCGAAAAAAATAATACACGAACCGCCCCGCCCCACCCCCGTGGGCCGCCGTCATTCATTCAATCATTTTGTCAATGATGGGGCTTTCTATTCTAAACGCATGTTCATTATTATTATTGATTTCCTAACTTATTTTTCGCTCTTACGACTTTTCAGTTTTTTCCAAGCCAGCAATTAATTTTCTCGCTCTGTTCTATTCCCCAACTAATTCGACGCCCATGAAACAAAAGGAATGGAAACAAGACGCACGCCGTCCGAGCCGTCTTTCATGTCTAACGAACATTGCTCTGGGCTATGCAACATACATGCAACATGAGGATGGAGTTGGAGATGGAGTTTGAGTTGCAGTTGGAGTGGGAGAGTGGCAGCGCCCAATTGATCCCCCGTCCCGGGCCCAGCTAGTGCCATCATCTCGTATAAAAGCTCGGCCAGTGACTGTTTTTGGGTTTAGAACAAATGCAGCTGCTCACGCATGCGGACTAACGCGAAAAACTCATTTAATACTTTACTTTTTTTTTGAAGTGTTGTGCTCTATTGTGATATCAGTGCTAGCCGGCTCAGGACACTCACACACACACACACACACGCATACACACATACACACAGGATATTCGAAGAGTGCGCGAGTTTTGTGTATTTCGAAAACCGATCGAAAATGTGGCAATATTTTGTGGTATGTGAAATGTTTCAAAAAGAGACCTGAAAATAAAAACAAGATATATATAATATCTATAAAGATATTCAAGATAAACAAAAAGAAACTCGAGTAAAATGTGCAAAACTAAAACTTGAAAGAAAATCAATAATAATACAATGAAAACATTCTCGTTGTATAATATCATTATACCAACGTACAACTATTGATTTCTATTTGTTTATATATTATAATTTGAACAACATTAAGTTATACATGAGGCGAATTGTGGAGACTTCAATTATGACAACGAATCAATAATAAATATTGTTAATAACAATAGTTGATACAAATTGGCTGACAGTTCCCAATAACTTCTGAGCACGCCATGTTTTAGAGTCTAAATTATAAACAAAAATTAGAGTAGTATCTCAATTTAAGATATGGCAGACCTACAGACACTCCAGTGACTTTATAAACTTGTTCCAATGTTTCTAAGAAGTAGATAACGCTGCTTCAAGGCATAACTGTCCCAATTCAAAGGCTTCTAAATCGCATACTAAAATCTGTTTAAAAATTTTTGAAAATTGAGAGCAAGAAATCGTCTCTAAGATATCATCCAATTGATTTTACTACTACTAGTTATAAGCAGAAGATAATGAGCTCTAAGTGAATAGATACGGAATTGTTCCTTGCTCATTTAAGTAAAGGAACAAAAATGTTCCAGGATTATGTGGTATTCTAAGCAAAATTCATATTGATATTTTGACTAGCTTTGTATTAGTTCATAAAATATATTCTTTACCCATTTTTTGTACACACTTTGCCAAAATGACCCCTTGTTTATTTTTTAGCTCATCGCCGGCCTGTGCATTCTGCAGTCTTTACCGACCAGTGGCTTTTGGTGGCCCAAGACGACTACGTAAGTGTGCAACTAGTTAGTCACTAGATAGCCGCCATCTTTAATGACCACCTTGCATTGCACACTCTTATATAGGGAAACACCTCGCACGCAGGTGCTGCAACAGATCCCGCTCACCTATTTCCGCACCTACACGTATCAGCCGCTGACGGGCGGTCCCTTTGGTGTGCCCCTCTTTGGGTTTGGTGCGGCACAGACGCCGTTGCTCTCTGGCCGCCCTTACGATCCGTATGCGGTTACCAGCTATGCGGCAGCACGGCGACACGATGTTGCTGCTCCAGCTACAGGCTACAAGCCGGACGTGACGCCACCCAGTCTGGCGATTAGTACAACAACGCCAGTGCCGAGCACAACAACTACAACGACGACAACAACACCGGCACCAACAACAACCACAACAACGACAACAACATCAACGAGTCCACCACCGCCGAGCAGCAGCACAGAATCAGGAACAGTCGCATCATCGCTGCGCTTTGGCGAATACAATTCAGAATATCCGACATATACTCGCCGTGTCAACAACTTCTACAATGCTCGGCCACAGTATCCTTATCCGGACTACTTCAACTACCAGCAGCCAAACACGCTGTCGGAGAAAAGCGGATCGCGCATTCAGTTCGTTCCCTGCATGTGTCCCGTCAGCATGCCCAGCATGTCAGCCATGTCTGGACTGGGGATGAGCAGTGCCACCAGCACGGACCGCGACAGGCCAGTGAGCATCTCCATTAGCAGCAGCCAGCCTGTCGTTGGGGTGAAGGGAGACGTGCCGTCCTTGCAGGCGCGCCACATTGATAGCGAGGAAGCTGACCTGGACGAGATGGATGACGAGGATGAGGAGGATCAAGCAGCAGCAGCCGATGCCTCCTCATCAGCTGAAGCGGACGATGTTGCCGTTGTGACAAAGCTCACCCTCGAGCCGCAATACACCACACCCGCCGTTGAGTCCAACAGTGTCGTCTAGTTGCGCCCCGATCGCGCCCCAACATAGTATTAACTACGTCTAGACTGATTTGTGCTGCTCCCATGAAGAGAAGGAGACCCAGTTCCGACGACAGTTTGGCATTTCCCCCTCTTTTTTTTTTTATTTGCCCAAAGTAAAGTACAACAAAATAAATTAAATACCGACTCGGCGGCTGATGTCGATGGAAGTCTAGTTCTTAATAAATTATACAAGTTGAACCAGGACTCACAAATTAAGTTAAAAAACAAAAAAAAACAAACACTTCGTGTACCAAAAACGCATTTTTCTTTTTGCCTGATCGGAAATTGCTTAGCAGGTTGCTGTATTGGATAGCGAGTGCACCAACCATTGACACCAATAATTAGTCTTCAAGCTAAATAAATTGCGGCACACTTTTAGGGGCACCCATACAATGTCAAGAAGACTATAACTCGCCCATTTCCATGCAGATTTTGGAAGGACATGGATTTGGAAGGACATGGATTCAAGGATATTGAGATTATTTCAAAGCCCAAATACTTGTACAAATAAGTATATCGAGCTGCATTTAAGATATACGGAGTCATCGAAGGACCCAAGAACCACAAGGCCGATTTGGATATCCTTTCACCAGTTGATATCTTCTGAATAGTGGAAAATGAAACAAGCTTTGATCTGAGTTTTTATACACTTATGTTTTGTTTTTATTGGATCATATGATTCGTCAATTACATTCATACATATAGATAGGGCTAATACTTAGCGCTTGCTGCGCGATTTCAACTAACTTCTTTGCTTCCTTATCTCTCTTTAGTGTTCTTCCACTCTGCGCTGACTCCATATGCGATTCCTTGCCATGCTTGATTCGTTCCTATGTTTTAATACGTACATTTATGTAGTACTTGCATTTAAATATTTCTTTCGATTTTCTTTTTATCTTTTTCTTTTGTTTTTTTTTTTGCTTTTTTTTCTGTTTGCCTATGCAGTTGCTGATCAATTAACAATTACAATTACATATATATCTAGATGAACTTGTGCATCGAGTGTTTGAAGTAAAAGTAAGTTTAATATTAAAAAAAAAAACAGTAAATCGTATTATCGAATAAATATATTCGTATGAACTAATATCCAGAGTGGATTCAAAAATTTTCCATTTTTTTTTTAAATTTATTTTGCATGCGCCGAAATCGTTTAAGGTCTAAATATCCAAATAATAATTATAATAAAAAAATATATTTACATATATTTATACATATATATGTAAGTAGTAAAATACAATTAATCAAGAGAAAAATATGTAATCAGTCAGTTTAAGTTATAGATATACAATTAGACAAATAGTATACATATATTAATTGTTGCATAGACATATACAATTTGAATTCTGCGTTTGAGTTTAACAATTATATACTAGAGTTCATTATAATCATCTGTTCTTAGTTCTGCGCTCGCACTCATACATATTTGATGCCTCCTATTTCCTCAGACCAGACACTATCCTTTCTAGTCAAACCCCCCCAACAGATACATCATACACAGGGTGTATGTGTTTCTTATGTTGTTGAAATATCCAGTGACACATTTATATGTATGTAAGCGAATTAATATTGTAATTATTTCTATATATTTTCTTCGGCATTTCTGCTTCTCTGCTTTCCTTCATTTCGCTTCTTCTCTTTTGTTTTGTTCTTGTCGTTTCATCGTTTTTTTTTCTTCTTTTTTTCAGTTTTTTTTTTTTTTTTTTTTGTGTATGAGAGGAAAATTGGGGACAAGGGAATTATGTGTTTCTTGTCATGTATGTTGTCCGTTTGTTTGTTTGTTTGTCCGTCGTCGTTTGTGTTGGTTTTGCTTGCTTACGTTCTACAAATTGCATAAATATGGCCTTTAAGTATTTGTCAAGTAACACACATATACTTATTGATATTTCAAATACATCAAGAGCTACGTCTCAAAAAAATTCATCGTCATCTCTTCTTCTTCTTGTTCTTCTTTGTGTTCGCATTTATCATCTCATGCGCTTATTAGATATGCTGTACTTATGTATTTTCCTGTTCATTTTGTTTGCTGTTTCATCAATTTATTATTATCTCGTTATTTCCTCTCCATTCACTTTTTCGCATTTCAATTTAGATTTGTTCGTTTTTTGCAATTGCTGCCCTATTATCAAATACCCTATATTTTTTGTTTGCAATTCAGGCAGGGGTGACAACAAATGATTTGTTGTCGTTTGTTTCATCGTCTTATGCTCAAAATTGTTGTGAGCTTGTTGTTTTATTATTAGGTTTGTAGTTGCTGTTGTAAATTAGTTTAATATTAAATATAATGAGATTGCGCAAGGCTAAAAATTTAAATCATTCACATTCACCAATCAAGACACATTCATTCCCACACACTGAACACATTGAAAATGTTTACCGAAAAAACAAAAAAACCTAGCAAAAATGTATATATCACAAGTTTTTGCTCTCGATATAGATAAATGCCAGTTAGTTATATATATATGTACGGTCGTAGGTACTAGATGGGCGTGGCAGACAACGGACGCACATAAAACAAAATAAATTAATTAACAAAGAAAAAAAAAAGGATTAAATTTAAATAATCAGTTAATAAAATAAGAATTGGGCTGGGTCAGTGAAACATTTCTAAAACTAAATGCTTGTAAATCTCAGATCTCTCATACTAATAACTATAAATTATACATACATAGTATATAGCTTCAAAATACAACTACAGCTTAGTTCTCCCTATATATAGCAGCGCATCAGCATTAGTTTAACACTCACATCACATCGACAAACACACACAACGACACACATCGACACACACAGAAGCGCTGGAATTGATTGATTGATTGATTGATTCATTGATTGATGCCAGTGGGTTGAAGCTGGACTGCGGCTCCATGTGTTGTTGCGTTGTTTCTTGCTTAGACGAATGTCTCCCTGATGTTGTTGTTGCTGCTATCGTTGAATAGATCTTACAACTCAGTTGACCGTCAAACGAATGACGAGAATCCGGGCAATGGAGCCCGTGATCGTGCCATATTATTCACAATTATCTGGCCACCATTGAGACTCATTACGGCGCTGCCCTCCGGCTCCGAGTCGGTGTAGCTGGAATAGTTGCGCACCGGCTTTGTCTTCTTCCACGATTGACGCAACGAATCATTCACATTGGCATAATGATTGACGAACGAGTGGGGATCGCTGCGAACGCTCTCGTTCTCGCTTTCCGAGTGCTGCAATTGGGGGATATACAGAGATTTGTATTAATTTGTTATTCATAGTTTGCATGGATATGTTGCTACTCATACTCGAGCACTGACTTGAGAGGCGTCAGAGCTGCTCACTTCTGATGGTTTCTCGGTGACGCTGCTATCGTCCGGGTTCTCATCGTAGCACTTGAGACTCTCTTCATCGCTGTGATACGCAACCGAAGCGGGTGATGGCCTCGGCGGACTCTTGCCCAGCTGCACACTTGTCGGTGGTCGATTTGTTGACTTGCGTCCCAGGGTGCCCAGAGTGCCGCTCCTCAAAGTTCCAACGCTATTTAGTGTGCCGGTGCCGACGCCATGACGCGAACGGTATAGCTCCAATGCCAGCTCCTGGCGCTCATCAATCGACATCGCCATCGACTCCTCCAGCGTTTTCTGCGCCTCTTCTGTGCGGCCTTGAAACACGAAGAATTAATCATAATTAAATGTGTATTTTCGAGAATATTGGATTTCATTGGATTTATGGAGACATACGCTTATACTTGTAGCTCTTGCTCTTCACACAGAGGACGGCAATGACCATGACAATGATGACGATCGATGTGGCTGCCAGGGAGACCATGAACCAGGTTTGCCTGTAGAATGGCTTATGCTGCAGATAGCCATATTCCATATGCAGCTTTGATGGCGTCACAATATAGTCCTTGGAGTAAACGGGAAACGAGATGCCATAGCGATTGTAGGCAATCACACGGAATGTGTATGCCGTCGACGGCATCAGGATGTGATAGCTAATGGTGTAGTCCTGCATGGTGCCCTTTCTCGTCCGCTCTATTTTGGTCCAGCGCGAATCATCTGCGAATTCAGAAACTGGAAAGTGAATGGGTTGCTAAGTGCGGGTCCAATTTGAGCACATTTGCAGTCAAATGGATGGTTAATGGATGCAGCTACGAGGTTATCTTGACGTGACGTCATCAATCAATCAACTAACTACAACAAAGTCAATCTCAGCAAAAGCACTTCCTTTTCGTAAAAGAGAATATGATACAGGTTAATTTCGAATTTGTAATTTTCAACAACAAATATTTGCATCGAAAAAGAATACTTTCAAAATAACCACTTTGCATAAGGATTTCGGATCATCGTTTGTTCCATCAATTGATTTTGCATGTATATGTATATATATATATATATATATATATATATATATATATATATATATATATATATATATATATATTTATATATCTGCGTATTAGTATATATTTTGTCTTTTTATATATATATTTAAAATAAATATTTTAGAATTCGTATTACTTGTAGATAGTTGTGGTTAATAGTATTTGGAAATGTATAAAATATATTCAATGTTAATGGAATGAAATATTATATTATATTATATATTATGGGTTAATACGGTTAGGTTAACGAGTTAGGTTAGCCTTAAGACTACAATACTTACAGGAATATGCGGGCTCTCCTTTTTCTACGCAAGCATTTTAGAGAATGATGGTTTATTTGGTTTTTGTTTTTGTTTTTGTTTATGTTTTTTTTTTTGGTTTTGAAAATTGCATTAATTTGGAACCAGTTCACCAAAAGATTATTGCATAGAATAGAAATCGAAAGGCAGTTAGAGAATGACTCCATAGAGAAAGCCGGTACCACTACAAGTTAGGATTAAGTGCAGCCGTATAACAATCACTTACCACGCTTCTTGGCCTCGATCAGATAGCCGAGTATGGCGCCGCGACCAGAGGGTCCATTCACCCAATGCATATCGACGCTGGATAGTGTCTTGGTGAGTATCAAGTCCCGTGGTGCTACTGGCGAACCATCCTGCGGTCCCGTTGTCACATTCGCACTGATCATCGGCCCGTAGTCAACGGTCTGGGCACGCACGGTGAACGTGTAGGTGACCTCCTCCTCCAGATTCTGGACGCGCAGCGTTGTATTCGATACCTTCTGTTTCACCTGCTTGCTGAACTCTGTGTGAACCAAAAAGCAAATGCAAATTACATTTCGATATCCGTGAACAACTTGAACTAGAAAACAAATTATTAGCAGGCGCAAATATATTGTGACAACTTCACTGGGAATTTAACTAAAAGGGAATCTTGTGAAAGCACTGCTGGAAACAACATGTAATCCGATTAGGCTAAGATATATATTTCTTATCAGCACTAATAGTAAGGTGTCTAATCCAATTGCTTGTCTTTCTTTTACTTACTCTCATTCTCCTCGGTGGTCTCGTAGGTCACCAGATAGCCGACTATTTCGCCATTGAGGTATTTGGGCGGATCCCAGGTGACCTGCAGGCTCTGCATCGTGATGTCCGTGAAACGTAAATTCCGCGGTGCAGTGGGCACACCTTGGAGGGTTCTCACCGTCACAGAAGTGGAGCGTGGACCGTCGCCGGCGGGATTGAAGGCCAGCAGCTGGATGCTATATTCGGTGTACTTGTCGAGAAAGACCAAATTGTGTGATGTGGCTGTGCCAGCGACAACCTCGATTTCCTCCTCCCATTTGCGACCGCGATCGTGCAGTTGCGGTGAATAGGTGACCAGATAGAAGATCTTATAGCCGAGAACATCGCCATTCTGCATGCTCTGGATGGGTGGCTTCCAGCGTAGACGCACCTCAGTGCTGGATATGGGTGCGGCCTCTAAAGTACGTGGTTCGCCCGTCGGCACCGCTTCGCCGACGTAAACAGCTGTTGGGGGCGTAACCGGACCCGGTCCCTGTGAGTTAAAGGGCAGCACAACAATCTCATAGTTGCGATCCTGGGTGAGATCCGAGAGCACCACACTGTCCACATTGATGCCCATCACATCCGTTTTGGGCGTTGTCTGCAATGCCGTGGGAAAATCGGAGAGCAGCTGATACAAGATGCGATAGCCACCAGTTGCAGTATCCCCATTCCACATGGCCGTCTCCAAGGCGCTCCAATGGACACGCACCGATGTCGGTGTTATCGGCACCGCCTTAAGTCCACCCACAGCCGCCGATGGGGCTGCTGGCAGGGTGCGAGCCAGAACGCTCTCAAAACTATACGGCGACGGGCCGAGATCATTGGTTGCCTGAATGCGGAACTGATAGATCGTGTGCGGCTTCAAGTCGTACACCGTATATGAGGTGATCGAGGGTTCGACCTTTTCGGGCAACGTTTGCCAGGGACCCTCGTTCTCACAGAACTGGAGCGTATAGTAGCGCAACGGTCCGTAGCCATCTCGGCCCGGTGTCCAGCTGAAGGTCATCTGATGCGCCTGGATCTGGCTGCGCGACACCTGCGGCGTCGATGGCTCCTGTGGTCGCTCCCGATTGTTTGTGGTGTACACAAGCACCGTGGCAATCTTGCCCCAGCCGAGACGCGTCTGTGCAGTCACCGTGAAGCTGTAGTAGCGTTCCGGCTGCAGCTCAGTGGCACGGAAGGTGCGATCCGAGGGCGAGAACTCGCGACTATAGTTAAGGAAAGCACTGCCATTCAGTCTGTAGGTGATCATATAGGCAAGAATCTCGCCATTCGGATCCTCGGGCACATCCCAAATGATGCGTGCCGTCGAGAAGGTCACATCCGGAAAACTAACATTCGACGGTGCTCCGGGCGTATCCTCAAAGGTCTGGACACGTAATGGTGGCGAGCTTAAAGCACCATCGCCCAATCTGGTGTAGGCCAGCACCTGAATGTGATAGACGACAAACTTCTTGAGTTCGGTTAGCGTCGTGGTGAATGAGCTGTTGTTCGGTATGGTCTTGAATTGGATGGGTGTATTGATGCCACCATCGGCTGCCGCAAAGTACACCTTGTATCCTTCGATCTGTCCATTGCGATGCGGCACGGGCACCTCGCCCCACCGCACCACAATCGTTGTCGATGATGTCGCATTCGCTTCGACCTCGAGCGGTCCATAGCTGGGCACTGCCTCGCGTGTATGCTCCTCGGTTGGGTTGCTGCCGAGGGAGCTGCCGACATCGTTGCAGGAGTAGATGATCACCTCGTAGAGGGTCCACTCCTCGAGATGCTCGAGCACATGCGAATTGGCTGTATGATCCTCGATGAGTGCACTGCGCAACTGTCCGTTGCCATCGTACGCTGTGTCATCCACCGGACGATAGGTGATGTTATAGCCACGCGGATTGCCAAACCATTCCGTCTGCTGCAACGGTATCCAGCGGACACGCAATTGTGTCGATCCCATTGCACGGACGGTCACATTGAAGGGTGCGTGCATCGGACGTGCCTGAATTGTTTGAAAGTCCTTGGTCGGTTCGGATGAGTTTGAGGTGCCCACCACGTTCGTGGCACTTAGACGTAAACGATATTGAGAGAAGGGCACCAGACCGGTCACCGTTAGGGTTTCCGCATCGGGATCATTGATCTCACAGACAGTGAACCAGGTCATGTTGCGTGCCGATTGTGCCTCGACCTTCCATATGGTAATGCTTGAGTTGCCATCGAAGCCGGGCGTAAATTGCAACACCACCGAGAAGGCCTCAATGTTGGACAGCGCCAGTCTAGTTGGTGCATGCGGCAACACTGGCTCCACACCCGATTGTATGGTTGCCGTCTTGGGTGCACCGCTGCCCACCTTTGTCCAGGCACAGATCTCAAACCAATAGTGTGTCGTCGCCTGCAGCTGATTGACAACCACCTGAGTCTCCTGCGCCGTCAGATTGATCGATTTCATGGTCTCGGGTCGATCGCGCACCTGATACCGCACCGTATAGGCAGTGAGTAAACCGTTGGCATGTCGGGGTGGTGACCAGAGTACGGTGACAGCTCGATCGGAGACCTCGGCGAAGTGCAAAGCGGTTATCTCATCGGGCACATCCTCTTTGGTCATCATTGGCACCTTGACGCTAGCAACGCCATCGCCTGGATCGGTAAAACACAATACGGTTATATTGTACTTGGTGTACTTCTCCAAGCCATTCAAGACGGTCGTCTGCTCGGCGAGGGGATCGATTAGGCTGGGCGGCACCGTCATCATGCGCTGCTCGACGTCCTGGAGTTCACCATCGATTTCACGCTGCTGCCATGCTTGGATCTTGTAGCCCTGATTGATGCCATTGATCTGCTGCGGATTCGGTGGTTTCCAGCTAATCTTAAATGCCGTCGAGTTCACGGCACGTACCCGGACATTTGTGGGTGGCGCCTCGGGTACGCCCTCCTTGGTCTTGATCTTGGACCCCTCAGTGTAGACCCCCACGCCCATATTGTTGAAGGCGGCAATCTGTACGATATAATCCTTCCAGGTGATCAGCTCCTGGATGAGAAAGTTGCGCTGCACCTCGTTGGTAATGTTCTGATACGACCAGGGCACATTGTTATAGCCATAGAGGCGATAGCGCAATATATAGCCCAAGATTTGTCCATTGCGATGCTCCTCCTGCGGTGGCTGCCATTGCGTTATAATCTCCGACATGGAACGGGCAGACCCAACAAATCCAACTGGCGGACCCGAGGGTGCTGTGAATATCAATCAATATATTTGCATATTATTACAAGGCACTTGTCAATTGTTTAATCAACAAAATACTTTTATTATTATTATTATTGGTGAGAGATAGAGAGAGAGTGAGAAAGATTCTTTTGTGGGTGTTATACATATATATTTGTATATAGTAGTACCTCGATAACGTGGAAAGACTACGCGCATTTGTTCATCAAAAGCGGGCACAGTCGACGATGCGATTTGACGACAACGATAGCAGTTAGAAGTATCATATACATATATGGTTATATAGCATTAGTTCTATGCGATAATTACTTGAGCAATACATTAAGATACACAGATACAGATACAGATACAGATACATATGCGAACTACTCAGTTCAAAAAGCTACAACGAGTGCACTCGACAACCCTACAATATAAAGCTGCTCAAGTGACTCTTCAAAATAAAACTTTGCGAAATACTTAAGACCACCAACTAAAAATGCAATTAATCTACGCAAAATGTAATTAAATTCAACGAATTTTGTTGCCATTTTATTTCATATATATCCGTAATCAAAAATTTATAATGTTCCCTTAGCGGATTGATTTGATTATCATCACTATTGAATCATTTTTTAAACGCAGTTTCTCTCAAGTATAGATCTGAGAAAATAGTTTTATATTAAATTTTGTGATAGTTCTTATAGATTTAAAATTTAGCAAAACGAAATTATGCTTGACTTTCACAGAGTAGAAGTGGATAGATATATACAAGTTTCTTTCGAAGATGTTACTTGCAATCCACAAGCAAAGTCACAAAATCAAAATACTTGACAAATATGGAAAAACGCACACAAAATAATTAAAGTTAGCTTCAAGTTAAATAACTATAAGTTCGATTTATGTAAATAAAAAATAAAATAAATACAAAATTCTTGTCTAGGCTACCGTTTGCCATACAGGCAAAAGATAGATAGATAGATTGGTTGGTTGGAATGCACTTACCTTCTTGGGGCAGCTCGATGACGTTACTCGGTTCGGATGGGGAGCCCTCGCCGACACGATTAACGGCACTCACGCGAAACTGATAAACGGTAGCCGCCTTCAGATTCTCCAGTAGAACCCAACGCTCATTGGCTGAAACGTTGGCCAATTCGGTGACCCAATTGAGCAGCGGATCGGGCACTGGACCTACGAATTTTTCTATGATGTTAATGGGATTGAAGAAATACCGTTGGGAGTCGGGATACAGACAGTGAAAGAGAGAGCGAGAGAGAGTGAGATAGAGTGAGATAGAGTGAGGTAGAGCGAGAGAGCGTGCGAGCGAACGAAAGATCATCGTATTATGTTATAATGGGTAATGAATGAGTGATGAATGGGTGATGAATGGGTGATGAATGGGTGATGAGTGAGTGTTGAGTGAGTGTTGAGAGTGGTTTGCAATTTACAAAATGAGTGTGGATTGTGTTATTTTTGGTTAGATGTGAATTTTGTGAAATGTGCGAAATAAGTAAACAAAAATAATAATACAAAAATTAGTAAATTCAACGAAAATGTACAAATCAAAATCAAATGTATAATATCAAGTTAATGTATATATATGTATATATGTAAATATATGTATATTTGTTTACACATTACCACACGTCCCGTGATTCGTCAGAGTTATTTGTTAATTGTTGTTAAAGCGATTGGGTAAATAGTAGTTAGAAGAAGAAAGAGAGAACAAAACAAATTGCATCAAATTAATTATTTACTTTAATGTAGATTTTTGTAATTGCTTTTCATTCTAGTATATCTCAAAGAACCGTTGTTGGACACTCGATATTATTATTATTATTATTATTATGGACAAATCCAATTTGTAATTAGACCACAGAAATGGATAATTAAATTTCTGTTCGGTTTCGTTGTGTCTGCTCTCGTTCATTTTGTGTGAAATGAGATGCATGTTTCCTAATTACACGGTCCAAAATCAGGGAACAACATGATGCCTGATTATCTGTACCTAATGTTGTTCAGTGTGTACATCTGTGTGTGTGTGTGTGTGTGTGTGTGTGTACGATAAATCAAATTCCAATACCAGAAAATATTCGTAGCCATAACCAAGTACAACCACAATACTCTTAGCGCTAGCTAACCCACACAACAACTGTGATGATATATATACTTGTCTATACTACACTATATATATATATATATATATTTATGGGTCGCAGGCGCGGTGGGTGGTGTGTGGTGTGCGGTGTGTGGTGTGGAACAAGTTGATAGCATATGGCAAAACTCACCCAATTCGGAAACCTCACGTCGCTGGATAATAAATTTGGAAATTGGACTATTGCCATCAAAGCCCGCCGTCCACGATACATTGATGCTGCGCTGGTGGGGCTCCTTTAGACGCTTCACCTTCACATTGGTTGGGGGGAAGGGCAGCTCGATGACGCTGAGGCGCGAGGAGCGCGTCTCGTTGCCACCGGGCGAGGTGACGACGCACGCATAGCTGCCCACATCGCTGGCCCGCACCGCCTGTATCTCCAGCTGGCCATCCGCCTGGACGCCAATTCGCTGCGAATTGACTATCGGCGCCTTCTGACCCTCCCGATACCAGTCAATGTTGTACGGCACACTGGGGTCACTGGACACCTTGCACTGCAGCGTTGCGGTCAGGCCAAGCAGCACGGTGGTATCCACAGGCGGCTGAATGATTTGTGTTCGCACTAAAGCAAAAAAAATATGCATAAAATGAAACAGTGTGTGTGTGAGAGAGAGAGAGATAGAGAGAGAGCGAGAGAGAGAGAATGGCATTAAAAAGTAAAACCGATTAAGTGCAACACATTTGTTGAGTTTCCATTTAATGCGGCCGACCTGCGTCTGGCGTTCAGCAAATTAAGTTACAGGCATGCGGCACAGGTGTACATATATTAATATGCATATCTGTATACATATATATATATATATGTATAGAAAAAAAAACCTTTTTCCATCATTTTTGTTGTTTTGTTAAGTGGAATATGTGCTTACAACAATAATAATTATATATTTAAGAGTTAAAGTAGCAGCTACAAAGGCCTACCAATCTACTTCAATTTGGTGAGTATCCATTGCCGGTTAATTTGTAAGAAGTGCAAACATGTTCAATGAAATCTTCTGTTTTGGACTTATGAAAATGTACATTTCCAGTTTTGGTTGGTGTGCATTAAAAACTCAACGCGCTCAACGAGTCTTTTAGAGTCCGGCCGGAGACCGTTTTTGGCACTGTGGTCTTGTTTTACTGCTCTTTTATTTCCTTTGTGGCACGGTGACCATTTTGTTGCGGCTGCTGCTGCTGCTGTTGTTGATGTTGATGTGTTCTTTTCTTTTGAATGGCGGCGCCTCGTTTGCATACTGTGCACACGCGAATTTCAGTTGAGTTCCATTTTTGATTGCCGGCACGTTTTGTGCAACACGCACAGCACATGGACACATGTAGAAGTGCAACGCTTTGACACAAGTAGAAGTGCAACGCTTGCTCCAATTAGCGAATTAAAATATATAGTTGGCCTTTTAGAGTGTCACTTTAGTAGCATGGCTTAAAGCGCGGCTTGCAGCGCAGCTTGCAACGTGTCTTGTGGTCAGTTCGTCAACCTTAATGCACTCCAAATGCAACAGTTCTATTGGACGCTTAATTATTGCTGTTTATGTTGCATGTGTGCTGTGTTCTGTGTTCTGTGTGTTGTGTGTTCTGTTTTGTGGGTGCTTGCTGCGGCTTTGATGACACTATATGTTGTGTGTGTGTCTGTATTGATATTGTATCGATGCGCCTCGGTGCTTTTGATATTGTGATTATCGACCGACGACGCTGCAAATCTGCGGCAACTGTTGCACGGCAGCTAGCTGTACATATTTGTGGTCTTGCCGTTGCACAAATTTTATCAGCACATGTCATTCAGTGTGTGCTTGGGGGGGATGTGGTGTGGTGTGCCACACGTTGTTGCACGTCACAGCTTGACGCTATTCAAAATTAATCTGCATTAGCCAAAGTGGCAAAGTATGGCACCAAATACAAACATTCACTTGATCACTTAAAGATCAATATTTGTCACATTTGCCACTCGACAGAGTGAAGTCCATAAATAAACCGTTTGTGTTGCCCAAAATTAGCCTCGAGATTAAAAACAAGTTTAGCTTAAATTACAAATTAAAATACAAATTCTAATTCTTAAAAACAAATATGAACCTTGACCAAACTGGTGTCACGCATTACAATTATTATTATATATTGCAAATAAATCGGTATACTAGCATCAGCTATAGTCTTTATACTAATACTGACAGCTAGTCTCAGAAAGTTAGTCTCAACTTAATGATTGATTGCTCTGATTATTGATTTTACTTACACAACTTATTGACTAAATTGATAGCTGATCAAAAAGATCGACTAAGTTTTGAAATTTGAGTACTAATTATAATATAAAAATATATATATAAATATATATTATTACGTATTACATTATTAGATTTGACGAGCAAAGGCATATAATATTTTGAATATATCCAAATATAAAATATAATTATTAATTATAGTTATAATTATTGCAATTGACTGCCGATCTTTCGTTTCGCCAGAGGGGTTAACTACTACGTTTATATATAAGCACATACCAATATGCATGACTTGTAATGTGTTATATGTTTATTAGTTGGCACTGGACATCTTTGTTCACTCCAGGCCTAAAGACTAACAACAACAAGCAATTAAATTGGCTACTGGCTTGACGATTGACAATTACAATTAATACGTAAGCTTTTTAGTGGGGTTTTTGGGGGTTTTGGTGGGTGGTCGCCGTATCATAACTTACCCAACACACTGAGATAGGCCTCCCCCTTAACGGAGCCAGCCTCGTTGGCCCGCACACACATGTAGAGGCCCGCATCGGAGGCGCGGATGTTTGCGATGAGTAAATCACCAGAATCGAGCACTTGAATGCGGCTTGATATCTCGACCAGTTGGGTTTCTAAGATTTATATTTGTTTTTGTTTTATCCAGCAAGCAGTTTAAGCGGGGAGTGCGGCAGAGTTGCAGTTGCAGTTGCAGAGTTGCAGTTACGGTTAGCAATTTAATTTGTTGGGTTAGCATACGAAAAGAATAAAACACATTGAAACATTTTTGATTAGCATTTAAACACTCATCTTTCAACTACAATATTTTTAAAACGTGCAACGTAACAACAAGAAATCATTATTATTGCGGCTTGTGGCACTCACCATTATAGATCCAGGTTATGTTCGGATTGGGGGCACCAACAGCTCGACACGAAATGGTCGCATCCTTGCCATCCAGTGCCGTCGAATTCTGTGGTGGCTTCTTCATCGCTGGCGCCGTTGCTGTGGGTGGGATGATCAAAACTATTGAGTATCTACGAAATTCACTAAATTCAGTGTGTGTGTGTGTGTGACTGTGTGTGTGTGTGTGTATGACTGTGTGTGTGTGTGTTACTATGTGAAAGTAAAGATTCGAGCCACATGGGACTGCAGGACAAAGGTGGATATACATGTCAAGTGTGCTTGCTTGTGTGTAAATAAGTATATAAGATTGTGGCTGTGAGTGTGTCAATATTTAATGTGTATATGTATATAAGTGTGTGTGTGTGCGTGCTACAAACAACAAGCTGAGTGTGCAAACTGTGCTAAGTTTTGATACAAGAAACTGCTGATAATAATAATAATAATAATGATTAAAATCAACAAGCAGCAAAACAAAATTGCAAATTTTGTTGCCCGACTTTTACATGATACGAATTTTGAGCACAAATTAAGATTTGCAAACTCAAATTAAGAATGTGATTTAAGAAATAATGTGCATTCTACAACTAAAAATGATTTAAAACAAAAAAATATATTTATACATATATATTTTGGTTTGATGGAAAAATCGAAAAATATTTACTATTCAGGCTTCAGTATAATGAATGCAAAGAGATGAATAACTGCAATTTGCACTCATTTTTAATGATTGCCATTGATGCCTGCCTGCGGCTCTGATTTAACTCAACGCGTCGCTGGCAGCGATAAATATCAATTATTTGTTGAGTTGCTCGGTGTTGGCGAATTCTTTTCACTTTTGTTCTGTTTTCACTTGTTGTGGCGAAATGTCACGAGTTATTCTTTGTGCTTGCTGTTGTTGCCACAGCCACAGAAGCGTGTACAATTGCCAACCAAAGCAATAATATAATTAATTCGTACTATGAAGCATTCGTTTTAACTCTGCTTTTTTAATGAAGTGCACGTTTCTTACAATAATATATTTATTTAAGCATGTCTGTGTGTGTATGTGTGTGTCTGTGCATAACTACCACTATGCAATTGACAGTATTAATTGTTAAGTTCTAAATACGTGTAAGGCGAATAAATAAATTAAAATATTAAAGCATCAGTTAAAATTAAAATAAAAAAAATAAAACAATTTGAAGGATTTTCAGTTTAACTGTCAATAAGAGAGAGATAGAGAGAGAGCGAGAGAGAGAGATAGACAGAGCACTGCTGGCAGTCGAACTGACAGATTTAAGTAGTTTTAATATGCTTCGTCAAGTGTAGAATAACTCAATTAGGCTTAAGTGAGTGCACTTTAAGTTAAGATACCCCAACCCAAAAAAAAAAACAAAAAAAAAAATGCCAATCAAATAATTAAGGCAAATAACAACGAAGGCAAACTCATAATGGAAGGCAAAAGAGATTAAGATGGATGGAGGAAGGATGGAGGAGTGCTCATTAGTTGAGATTCCATAGAGTAATTAAGCAAGTAATTTGAACCAGTTGTACTTAAGGACATCGCCAAGATATCCAATAACCAATTAATTGTGCAATTGAATATCTAATTAAACTAACAAACAAACAAACAGATTTCTCGCAAAGTAGTTAACTCTAATAGCGTTTCGCGTCAGCTTATTTGCAGCCCTAATTCATCGACAGTATCAAGCTATGACCGATAAGGCGGGGAATGTGGGGTGGGCGGGGGGCTGAAGGTCACGTTAACGTGCTAAATGTGATTAGGCGGCACACACAAAAGGCATTGTACCACGCCCAACACACCGCCCCCTCCCCCCACCATCCCCTAGCCCTTCACACCCGTCGCTATTTTTGTGGCTGTGCACGCAAGGGGCATATTAAAGAAATGAGCGTAAAAAACGCTAAAAGAAAAGAAAGAATATAAGCATGCTCTAGTAGAGAGTGCTCGCCTGGAAGATGCCCTGTCTGTACATATAATTAAATGTATATTTATATATATATATATAATTAAATTGATATGCACAGCATATCAATTTCGAATTGGAAAGCTTTATCTCTAAATTTGTGTATTTTATTGATAAGAGTAATCGATTTTTATCGATATTCGCGAAACAGAGGGATTTGTGGCAAGCGGAAAGTTTCTAGTTGTTGTAGTCTCTGAGCAGGCGATATTCATACGGACGGACGGCAGACCATGCCCAGATTGACTCCGCCTTTCATGCAGTTCAATAATATAAATGGTTTATGGGGTCGGAAATGCATCCTGCTTACTGCTTACTGCTTCCTGCTTCCTGTTGCGTTCTTTCGCATAACCACGTTATACACTTTTCACTTTTCACCCAGGTGCCAACAGAAAAACAAATTTGGTTACTGGCACAAATAATGAAATAAAGGGTTTATTCAGGGAAAGGGGTTGGGGGAGAAGGGGGTGCTTAAATTAAATAAGGCGAACGGTTGCTATGATAAATTTGTCAGATGCGACATGGGACTGACAAATACCCGAGCGCCTTTTATGCGACCGTACAATGTGGCGTATGCGCAACGACATTTTAACTGTGCTTCCTCTTTCGAGTTCCCATTTTATTTTGTATTCGTAACTCATTTTAAGTTGATCCACGAAAGTGGCCGACCTAAGTTAAAGTCGTTATGAGACGCCGAGAAATGGCACCCAGCACCGGCGATAATTGCCATTACTCGATGGGTGGTAGGGGAGGTGGGTTGTGTGTGTTTCATTTGTGTCGATTGAATCGACGTGTGTGTAGTGGTACACTATTCAGTCCACTGCACAACATTTGCATGGAAAGTGTGTTTTTATATTCAGCCCGAGGCTTTCTCATTCTCATTTTCTACTTTTTCTATTATTACAGAACACTACTGCTTTTAAATGCCCCGCAATCATTGTGGGACATTAAACAGGTTGCTTAGCAACTGAAAATAGCCATTAAAATGTAAATTAGTTTTGCAACAAGCAAAAAGAAGAAACAATAGTGCCTAAGAAATATATGTGGCATACAATAGCCATTATATAATTGGTTGGCAAAAAAAAGGAAGTTATATTAATATGCTCTACAAGCAGAGCTTTTATGATGGATGGTCAGAAAATAACATGGCTATATCAGATCTGATAGTGAGTAAAATTATATATATATATATATAAATATGAATATGGTATCTGCTGCATTTAAAAAAAAAATAGAAGCTCATCTGCAATTGATTAATTGATTGATTGGCATTGCATAGCTAAGAAAATTTTATAATTTTGCAACATTGCAGATACGAAAGCCACTCAGTTGTCGGAGAGTTGCAGATTTACTAGTTGCGTCATAGAAAATTGTTTAAAATGATGTTGATGGAACTGTTTGCGATATGTGCAAGACTTTCTTCTGTATTTGCTGTGTGTGTCCAACTAATTGAATCTTTCCAAATTGTAGTTGGTTACCAATTTTATTCGCTCCGATTCGATATTGCTGCTGTTTATCTGCTGGCATTCGATTTTTCTGCTGTTCGATCTGTTAGCAGGCAAGTTGAGCAGTTAAATGATGTTCATCGTTTACACAAGTAGCTCGCGTGCTAGAGCCACCTGTTGTTCGTAGATAAATCTAGTTGGCGCCATCTAGCGTACATTGTGTGCGTGTGTGTATGTTTATAGTCTATCATTTTCAGTTCTCATGTTATTTCAGCTGCAGTCATGCATGCAATTTCTGCAAGGGAAAATGTGCCACGCCCAGCCGCCCAGCCAGCTCATCATTAATAAGTTATGTTGTGCTTAAGTTGCTGCTGCTGTTGTTGTTGTTGTTGGTTGGCAACTTTTACGCTGTACACAAACAAAACAAACATTGTGAAGCGCCGCCTGCCACATGCCAGGAAGAGGCGATTAAAATCACTTTGTGTTTCGGGAAATCGCAAAATTATGTTGCTCGAGCAGCCGGAAAATGTGCAGCAGCAAATGGTAATGTGCCAAATTGTTTACCTTTATTACTCCAAGGTGCAATCGAAAAGCCAAGCCAAGACTAAAGCCAGCCAGGCCAACAGCAACAACAACAACGCCTACATCGGGGAAAAACAGTTGAAAACAAATACAGCAAGTGGCAGCAAGAAAAAACTTTAAACAACAACGAAAAAGAAATATGCAAAACTCTGGCGAGGAGAGGCGGCGCAATTAAAGTGCAGATAACGCTTGGTTACGCCCCCTCACTTCTTTCCGCTGCTTGCGACGCGATATTCTGGAAAATGATTTGAAGCCAGCTGCACACAATCTCACAGGCAGCCAACCCACTCCCCTCCCCGCCAATCCGTCACAACCAGCAGCTTGCCAGCCAGCCAGCCACTTGTTGCCATCCCCAAGTGCTAAATTAAAGGGGACAACTTATCGGTAATTACGTAAAGTAAAACTTAAACTAAAACTTAAACTAAAACTAAAACTAAAACTGAATAAACAAATGCAGTGCACCAGTTAAAGTTAAAAAAAAGAAGTGGTTTACAAGTGCGTTCTGCAGCCAGCCAGAGATGGGACTTGAGCCACTCACTGAACCGCTGATCCCATAAGTAGAAAACTAGTTAACCAAGTTAATGGCTCTCCAAGGATAATAGCCACTTCAGACAGTCGAGAGTTGCAATGAAATGGCATTGAGAGTAATTATAGAAATATTTGAGTAAAGTAGTTGCAACTACATATTTTAAATAAATAATAAATTCAGAAAACACTTCAATAAGGCGTTTTCGCTTAATTCATCGATCCCATTGGCTTAGAATATTAATCTGAACATTGACTGTTGTTGGCTGTGCAGTTGTATTGAATCAACAGTACTGCCTCGCCTGATAAAAGAGGGTTTCAATGTCTTTAAAACTTATAGCATGCAACCCAAGGATGCTGCATCTTTTTCTAGTTAAGGCGACACACTCTGATCTGCTGGGATGTGGCTTGAGGATTCTTCCTCGCTTTCACAAAACCTGCATAGCAACTGTGAATAATTAGTTTAGTTAGGCGACTTCCTAGTCCACAATGTGCTGTCAGTAGACAGCAGGTGAGTAACCTAAGCCAATTCTTCCCCATGGTTCTCAGTTGCTTACATCGTTTATGATTATAGTCGCCTCAAAAAACATCTGGCTTGTCGGAGTCCAGTCCAGGGGCCTCTGCCCAGCTCCGTTGTCGCCTCTGTCTTTCTTCGTTTCAAAACTGTAGTCGTAGTGTGGGAATGTTGCTTATCACATGAATCATAAATTGGGGCTAACCTTAAATTTCAAATGAGTGGCTTAGTCATTTGGCAAGGCAAGGAAGGTCGCTGCCTGGCTGCCTGTCTGCCTATCTGGCTGGTCATAAAGTAACCTGAAGGTATCCCATCTTCAAAGTTGCGCAACTTAACTGACAAAAGTTTTTCAATAAACCGCAGCCAGAAGGACAGAAAATCGCTTAACTAGTTGTGGCTCGATGAAGTGCAGCAGGAGCAAGGAAAAATCTCTGGAATTGACAGCGCACATAGAGAAAAGCAAGCAAATTGGACCGAAAAAATAAATCAACACGAAATATGCAACGAAATTTTCAATTTACATGGCAAGTGGTCGGTCAAACAAGTCACAGACTGTTCGCGTGTGCAAATCTCCGACTGTCCCGACTGTCACGAGTCTCATACTGTTCATAAAAATGTACCAAAAGTATCTCAAAAAATACAACTCAAGTTTAGCTGAGCAGTGACTGAGAGAGAGAGAGAGAGAGAGAGGGGGGCGCAGAGGCTGAAAGCACGCAACAGAAAACGACAGTTGTTCAAGTTTAAAGAGCCATAAAATGAAACAACAACTTGAACAATAACCGTCTGCCTTGCATCCTTCTCTCTCTCGCTCTCCCGCTAGCTCTCTCTCTCGCTCACACACCCACACTTTTCCATAATTTGCGTAAAATGTTTCGAGACAAGCAGGGCCAGAAATGGTATCTGTTCCGTTGTTTGTCTCTCGGTCCGGCTGTCTGTCTCTCTGTCTGTATGTGTGTGAGCCGAGCATAGATAAACAAATAAGACAGTCAACACTGACAGCAGGCTGTCAAATATTTAAGTGGTAGACAGAGCTGCATTTGCTGCCTTGAGTAATGCATAATTGTTTAGCAGCAGCCAGTCGCAAATTCACAAACAAAATATTGCCAAAAAAGAAAAAGACACAGCTGCACAATTGGGCATGAAGTAAGCATGCATCGTCTGCGAAACTGACGACAACCATCCACAAGCGGAATTTTATAATCTAATATATCAATTCATGAAATTGCTGCAAACGTTTTTAGCTCTGCAAATTAAAGTCAAATTAAGATTTACAATCGAAAACTTAATCTGTTCTTTGCTCAACGAGAAGAAGGTTGAATACATTTTTGATTTAATTTTATACACACCACTGGACACAGACGTAAACACAAGCAAGTAAAGTTTATTAATGCTACACTAACTGAATTCCTTGTAGGCGTTCGTCCTTCAGTCATATTAAATTCATTAAAATGTGAAATTTTGCCGCAGCAAATACAAATATGAACTTCAATACATACAGACATACACAGTAAAGACATTTACATACAAACATCTTGTTGCACAGAAATGCTTGCTCACTCTGCTGTTGCTGCTGCTGCTGTTGTTGCTGATGGAGACTTGCCACTTAATGGCACTTGGGTGCACTCGGCGCAACAGGCAGACAGGCAAAGACAGAAAAGTTAGCAAGACTCTCTATGACTCTGAATATGCAGGGCCCACTTAATAATAATGTTTATTATTATTACAAGTAAATTTACTCGAACAATAACCATAACAATGCATATTTATACAAAATGCTTGAGATGCCCAGTTTCCTTCTGAGAGACTGAGCATTAAGTGTAAAGTTTATGAATACATCATGCTGATTGTTAGATCAGAAATCAAATACTTTCCGAGCTGAGAAATGTAAATGTGTATTGAATAGTGTAATATTTAATCAGACAACAGAATACATTAAATATGTAGAATGGGATAACACGCCTGTTTGTGGAAATATCTCAGGCGAACCAGTCACAAAATTGCAACAAACACTATTAATTGAATGTGAATAACATCAATTTGAGCTGTTTTTCTATAGTGATATTGAATTATTTTATAACTCTGTGTGGGCAAATCTTCAATTAAATATTTATCAACATTTATATGCGAATTATGTTTGTATTTAGTCCAACAACAAATGAAAAGTTATTTTCCAAAATTATTGTAATTTTTAGTGTGATTAGAAAACTTCGTGCATATATAAAATGATATTATATATATATTTTATATCTGTAAAATGATGAAAATAACAGTTACAACAGTTAAGCCTAAAAAACTAGATTTTATTAATAATAATCGGATAATAATCGTAATTTTTTCACGATGATGTCGATGATGATGTCGATGATTGTGGTTAATGCCAGTGCACACAGAATGAGGCAACAAAAAGTGGCCATTGACACTAAACAAATTGCAACAGCTATGCATTTAAAAATGTTGGGGGGTTGGGGAGTGGATATAGTAGGGATTTGGGATGCTGTGTTTATACTACTGTGATGCATGAGCATTCCGAGCACGAGCGAGCACGAGTTGAGTGCAACCATGAAGAATGAGTGCAATGAGTGCAATTTGAATGACTCGCTGATGCATGAGCCAAGTGCATTTTGATTGTGAGTGCAGTGGTAAACAACAACAGAGAAAAAGAAAAACTAAAAAACAAACAACAAAAACAAAAAACAAACTTAAAGTGATTTTTTCTCTTTCGGTATCTCTGCTGATGCTGTTGCTGTTGGTTGAGTGCTTTGACAAAATAGGTGTGCGGGCGTGTGTGTGTGTGTGAGTGAGTGAGTGAGTGTTTGTGTGTGAGTTCTGCATTCTGGATGCCCATACCAAAGCGAAATTCCTTGCGTCTATTGCCCTTGTTAGCGTTCATGCCCATGCCCGATCCCGAGCCCGATCCCGAGCCCGATCCCCGGCCCGATCCCAAGCTGTTATGTGATGCTCTCACCCGCAAGATGCGCGGCTGCGCCAAACGCTTCACGCGCGGCTGTTGCAGCGAAGCTGCCGCTTCGGTTGTTGCTGCATGTTATATCAATGTATATGTATATGTATATGTATGTGTGTGTGTGTGTGTGAGTGTGTGTGTATTGGGTTTACATTATAGAGACAGCACAACATGACAAACAGAGTTGGAGAGAGAGGGAGAGAGAGAGCACCGTTTTAGTTTCAATATATGGTTTAGGCGCGTGCTCCCAAAATGCATTCGAGAGGGATTAGTTGGTGGCACTTATCCTAATGAATCACTTAATGGCGGCATCATTAATCATACAAATATATAAAGATGTATACAGCATAGCGATAGATGTGTGCTGCACTGGCAACACTTGACTTACTTTTCACTCGCAGCCAGGTGTAGGCAGACTTCTCGCCGGCCTCATTCGTTGCCAGGCACTGAAACATTCCCTCATCGTCCAGCGACAGTTTTTTAATTATCAGCGTATTATCAGCATTCAGTTCGTAGCTGCAACAAAAAAAGGCATTCAATGTTTCACATTACTTTGAGTTTCGAGTTCGAGTTCGAGTTTGAGCTGTAATTAAAAATTGCATTGGGCATTTTTTGTTCTGTTCCTCTTCAGGCAGATTACACACTGCGCTCCAATTTCAAATGAAGTTGCACAAAATTGCTGTGCTGGCAACAAAATTAAAGTAGCGCCAAAGTTGTATTTCTGCTTATTATTTACGTTACAGAATTCCTACTCAAAAAAAGTTGACAATTTTAATGTCAGATTTTCAAGCTCAAATAAAGAAGTAAATTCAAGAAAGGATTTCGCAATAAGATGCAAGAAGATAAAAGGCTGGTTGATTAACATTGTTGAGAATTTGAGACTCTGATATAATTAAAAACTAATAAAAATAAAGTAAAAAACTGTGTTATTAACAGTAATTTCAAACTTACACTTCGTCTTCCAGTTGCGCCTCGGTGATGCGTTCGGCATTGCGAAACCATTGGACCTGTGGCTTGGGATCGCCAACAACGTCGCAGGACAACTGCACCTGGCCGCCAAACTCGCCAAAGGTCTCCGAGCGCAGGGGTGAAACGAACATGGGTGCCTCGAGGATCTGGACGCGAGCGGTGGCTGTGACCGTCTGATAGCCACCGCTGCGCAAACGCACCTGGCAGCTGTATTCGCCGGAGTGGGAGCTGTTCGCCTGGAGCAGGGCCAGCGTGCGGTTCCATTGATCGTTGAGGGTGTGCATGATGCCGGCATTCTCAACGGCGACGCCATCCTTTAGCCAGATGGTCTCCAGTTCGTGCAGCGGTCGGGCATTGGCAATGCATTGCAGTTCGGCGACGCCCTCGCCACGCTTCAGCTTGAGATCCTGCGGCGGCACAATGATCTTGGGAGCCACCTCAACATAGGGATCACCGGTGACATTCAGATGGACAAATGCGCTAATCTCCTCCTTGCCCAGTTGGGTGTTCATGGCCCGAGCACGATACGCCTTCCGATCGTTCTCATCGGCGCTGAGGATGATCAGCTGATTGGCCTGTGTGTAGGCGTACTTGATGTCGTAGTTAAGGGGACCCTCTTCGGTTTGCCAAATGACAGATGGCTTCGGCACCGAATCGATTGCTGGCATATCAAAGACGGCCGGATGACCGCTGACAACCGTTAGACGACCCTCGGTGACGTTCTCAAAGATGCCCATATCTGCAGCAGAGCAAAAATAAAAATGTGTCAAAATTAGGAACTAGTCAAAATTGAAATATATGCAGCAAGCTAATTACAATTTAAGTGTGCCAATGAACTTTTGCTGACCCCCTCTTGGGCGGGGCTTAAGTGTCACAACAGCTAATTGAATCAAGCGGCGACGACCTGGCCTGGCCTTGCCTGGCCTGCGGGCTGCCACTTTAGGTTAACCTCTTATCAAGAGGCACAGCAATACAGTCATCCCCCTCTCCAATCCGCCTACCTATCCAACAACCAACCCCAGCCCTACTCATAATTTTAGTTTACTTGCTTAGCAGGCACACTGCGAGAAAAATACGTTGGTGGTGTCGATGCTGATGTCAAATTACAATTTCAATTTATTGAATAATCTGAATTGAAGAATAAACTATTTTTTTTTAATTCCTAAATCTATTTTTAATACTCAAAACAAAAACTTTCATTCTTGATTCAAACAGATTTAGTTGTGATTGAAAATTCAACAAATATTTTTAAAGTTTTTAGAGAATTTTTCACTTAAAAAATTTTAATTTTGAGTTTGAAAAGGGAATTTTGAAATCAAAAGTTATTTGACTTTCTTATCGAGATTATTTCAAGAACGAATTTCAAAAAGAAAAACGCTAGTTATGTACTAGAGTCTTGGTACTGCGCATTTCTCGCAGTGCACTTGACTACCTCTCCTACTACTACTACAATTAGAGCTAACCACATGCCTCCTCCTCCCCCCTCTGTTCTATCTAATAGGTTATTAGTTCAGCATAAGCGCACTCCTACAATTAATTAAGTGCTCAAGACGCTCCAACTTGGCTACGATGAGGCACAGGCCAAGGCGTGCCACTCCTTCAACACACAACAGCACGAGAGACGTCATCAACATCATCATCGTAATCGTAATCGTAATCGTAATCGTAATCATCATCATCATCATTATCATTATCATTAAGCAGCTTGTCACATACTTGGTTGGCGTGCCCAAAAAGAAGGTCACCAGGCTTGTCCAAAGCTCGATTTATGAGGTTCAAGCAGCTATATAATGTTTGTGCAGCATACACACACACACACACGCTCAAGTGTTACTCAGACATACTTGCTGTGACCCGCTTGCCACAATTGCTTGCCTCGTGCTGTTGTCGTTTTTGTTGCAATTAAGTTCGCATTAAGCCTAAATTAATAGCAACAATCTAACACTGCTGATGATGCAGCTCTGACAGCCGTCTGATTTGCAACTTGCCCCCGATCGAAACAATTAAATACAGCACAATCGATTCATCAATTTATCTGCCAATTATTTATTTTGTTCAGTTATAATTGCTTAATCCAGTTGAGAATATGTTTTTCGTTTAACATTTTCCCTTCTCATACCTTAAATCAAGAATAAATTTATCTGATTTTAGTTCCGTTTTCCTTTTTAGTCTATATATTTCTGTCTAATATTGTAAAATTAAAGTGTGCGTTTAACCATTCATTTGCTGTGCCATTAATTGTCGCCTACTCTGTGAAGTCGCATAATAAATAGGAACGAAATGAAAATTGTTTTCCACAACCCAATTGATAGGCAGGCGTTTTCCTCATAAATAATAATGGTTAATATTGTTTGACGACAGGAAAAAATAGCAGCTGGCTGCCAACACTATTATACAGATACAAATAGATTAGCCACACTACCTCCATATATATATATATATATATATATATATATATATATATATATATATATATATCGATTTAGCTGTCATTCATGTTTGCATATTGTGCTGAGGCTGGTTTTTGGGCAGCCATTTGGTAACAGCCATTAAATGACAGCCCAACTAAACTTATCTATTTGAGCAGGAGTTGATTGACATAGCTTGGCTAACAAACTAATTGGGATAAGGAACACACCTTAAATCAGGAATATACCTAAAGTATTGCATGTGGCCACGAATCCCAATTCTCAACTCTTAAAAGCGAATCTATTTTGAAAAGCAATTTCCCTTTTCACTTTAAATACACCAATATTCGAATTTCATAAATATAATAAATAAATCACAGTTCGAACTTTTCGCTTTGCCAATAAACTTGTTCGGATTTTGGTGAGGCTTTCGTGGTGTTTGCAATTAACAGTTAATGAGTGTCATGTGCGGCAAAATGTTGAAAATTCACTCCTGCTCCGGCTTATCATTTATCGCTTTTCAAAAGAGTTACTGCTGCTTTTGCTTTTGCTTTTGCTATTAAGCCAGCCCAATCAGTGAGTTGCCATTTATGTGGCATATCGCTGATGAATGCAATGGTTATTCTGGCCCTTGCTTTTTCCAGAATTCAAAGTGTGGGCCAAAATGAATGGCCCGCTCTTTTTGGCCCTATCTCCGCAATACCAATCGCATGAATCATGCCTATTGATCTCTAGACACTCTCACACACACTGACTGACTGACTGACTGACTGACTGAGTCATGAACTGTTGCCAAGTGCAGGCGCCTCAGCTTTAAGCCAGCTTTTGCTGCAAACGGAAACGAAGAAACAGACAAAGAAAAGAAAAGAAAAACAAAGAAAGCCAATTCGATTGGTTTGGAATTACTATTGATTTGTTGGGCTGTTCTCTCATTCTCTCTCTCTCTCTCTGTGTCTCCGTCTCGCTCTCCCTTTAATTTAAATGCGCATTTGATTATGCAAAGCGACACCTATTGTACATAGTTGGCATAAGAATTATATCAATTTCATATTTGTTGTATATGTTTGGCATTTTATCATTCAAATACTTTTTTGATAATAAATATATGCAAAGCGAGTCGATTACATTTGATTATTTACAGGTTGCCTTTTGATTTCATTTGATTGCTTTTTATCTGATTACATTATTAGATAAATTCTTCTAATAATGTGTTTAGTGTCTAATAATTGGCCGAGTTCGTTGAAAGTTCGAGCAGAATGCTGAATAAGAACATTAAATTATGTTAAATCATTTTTGTTTTTGAAGATTATACAGATTTGAGGTTAGTTTTACATGTCGCAATTTGTCGCAAATGCAAATTGTGGATTATTAGAATTGTGCATTTCTATAATGAGCAGCTCATTCCAAATTTGAGTGCCAATTAGCCGTAAATGTAAAACCTTTAATGGATGCTTCAGTTAAGTTTTTGGCCACATTAGACAGAACTGGACTAATTAAAATGGCTGGTATGAAACTGATGATGTTGATAGGTATTGATAATACTGTATGATAAAACTATGAGAGACCGTCAATAAGCCAGCAGTAGGTGGCAACTTAATCCTTGTGAACGCAGATACATATCTTGTAAAACTCACCCCCTCATCTGACTATCTCGCTCTCAACCACCCTGGCTCCCTACGTCTTTGCCTCTTGGGGATGTACTTACATGCAACCACAACATCGCTTTTCTCGCTGAAAATGGATCCAGCATCGTTCCTGGCAATGCACTGATAGCTGCCGGCATCCTCGCGTCTTGTGATGTGAATGCGATAAAATTGACTCGATGAATAATCGGCGACGGCTGCACCATCCTTGAGCCAGCGATATGTGGGCTGTGGCGAACCTGAGAATGGAGTTCAAGTAAAACACATGTATAAATAAGTAAATGCTTGTCTGTGTGTGTGTGTTGCAACAAGAGATAGTTGCCACAGCGGCAGCCAGTTGCAGCTGGAGGGGCTGGCTGGCGTGTGGCAGCTATTCGCGCTCGTTTTGCTGCATAATGAAAATGTTTTTAAAGCTCATATCTCGTTGCCCCCCTTTTTTGGGCTGATTGCGATTAAATCTTATGCTGGCCACGCCCGACCAGGATATTACGTACATATTGCGCCCAGTGTATTTGTGTGCTTTGTGCCTGTGCCTGTGCCTGTGTGTGCGTATGCGTTAACTATCTGTTTGAATTTCCATTGCCTTACTCTCAGCAGTAGCAGTAGCAGTAGCAGTAGCAGTAGCAGCAACGGCCATTTTGTAAGCAAGGACCACTCCACATAATAGAGGGGCACAGGCAGCGAGAGTGTTTGTGGTTATACAACTCACAGAGCAACTCGATTTGGCACACAATTTACACAAATGCGATCGGCAGCTGGGAGTTTGATAATCGACATTTTGGCTATTGTTGCAACGTTGTTGCTCTGTTCAAAATGGTAAATGGTATAAAGGGGTATATAAAGGAGTATCCCGCAACGATCCATACGAACTTTAAGAGCTACTCAGAGATACTCAACATTTGGCAATATTAGTTACAACATATATAAATAAATCATCATCAACTCATCAACAGTTCGAATTACCACCTACAAGCAGACTACAGGGTATCTCGTAGATGAGCTCTCTCTCTCTGCTGGAGCATTCTAATTTTGTTTGATTTCGATTTGCCGACATGCATTTAATTTAAAGTTGATTTATGTGCGGCCAAGTGCCAAGTTGCTGCTGTTGCTGCTGCTGCTGCTGCGGCGGCTGCTGCGGCGGCTGCTACAAAATGAGAATTGCAATTGCAATTTGTAAACACAGATATTGTGTGTAACCAAGCAACCAACCGTTGGCCATTTGGCTGTTCTCGGCATTGAATAAAATATACGTTTTTAACTAAATGTGTTCTGATACTCATCATTCTACCAAATCCACTCTCCACCTCGAAACCACTTCGCTGCAGCGAAACCAGTTTACTAAATGCAACAGGGCCCAGTGGCAACTGCTCGTTTCAATTGCTGAAAGCCGTTGGAGACACTGCAACTGCAGTTTCGGCATTCAACTTCCGATACGAAATTCCTTGGCCAACATTTAAACGAGCTGAAAGCGTGAAGCAAACAACAGCAACAATAACAGCAACTTTATGTTTGACCTAGATATACCCTTTAAATAACACATTTCCTAACTCAACCTCAGATCAGATCGACAATATTATCAATTAATTATCAACTATCAAAAACTTTAGATAAAATAAGAGTTTTTTAGTTTTTATTTCACAAGTTTCACAATTTATCAAGAACTGTGGAAATTCGCCAAGGAAAAGTTTCATAGCTGTTAACTTAAAGATCAAACTGACAACGATTTAAGGCATTTATTCATTTGTATAGACCCTCAAATGTATTCAGAATTCGGAGCAAATATAACAAAAGGAAAAACGTTTTCAAAATAAATAAAATCAAACTTTATTTGTTATAATATACATTTATGTGTATAACAATGTCTTTGTTAGAGTATACACAGCAATGGCAAAGCACACAAGCCGCACACTGAAAAAAATACCAAGAGGTCGAGTTGAGACGGGGAGGGGAAAAGCAAGGCCAACGGCAAAGCAATTGCATTCAGTTGGCAGCAGCAGATGAAATCGAATTGAGCAGACAACTTAAACCGAATTGAACTAAGTAAAAGGGCCACAGCCAAATCAAAATAAAAAAAAGAAGACCAGCAGATGCTGAAGCTAAACCCAAAGAAGGGAAGAAAAACGCATTTCTTCAAGTGTTTGGGGCCGGCATAAAAAGTTTTGACCAGCAAGCAAAGGGGCCAAATGTCTATTTGAACATTTTGGCCAATGATGCTGCTATAAAATTACAATTTGGGGAATTGCAAGGCAAATTCACAGAGCAACAACTGCAATTCAAACACTCGAACACACACACAGAGACACAGAGACACACAGACACACACAGTCGTCATTTTGGTCAAGAGCACAGGCAGCAGCAGACGGCTCAATGAACAAGAAGCAGACTCAAAGTAAGTAAGCCAAACAGCTAAAGAAATGCACGCAAAACGCAAAAAAAACAAACAGATAATAACCGAAAAGAAAATGCGCTTGCAGACTTACTTCTAGATATCTCTCTTAAAATAAAAAACAAAAAAAAATCTATTAAAATAAATTAAAATCAAGAAAATATATTTGGCTTATGTCATCTAAGATGTCTCAAAATGTCCCCAAAATGTTACAAACTGCAGGACAAAATGATGATACCCTTTGCAAGGGCATCTAAAGCGATGAGGTATTCTCCAGCTTGCAGCGATATGTGTCAGCGTTAAATCGAAGTGAAAGCTCCAATAAGCTGAGCAGCCAAGCAGCGAAGCAGCAAAGCAGCTAACCAACCAGCAGCAAATCCACCGTCAGCCACCAACCCACCCAGGGCTATACACAGCTGCGGTCAAAATATTATTACTGTTGTTTGTTTTTGAAAATGTCAACAAATATAGTTCGAATATAGTAAATAATCAATAACTAAAGATGAGTAAACATTGAAAGATGGAATAGCTAACCAAAAACAATTAAAGTCTTTCAAATTGATTACAAATGGATGGTTATGGAATAGTAGAAAAACTTTCGTAGCTTTGCCTGGGTCTAAATCATATATCTAAATGTTAGATATGATGTGCGGATATATCAGACTTCGCATAGTATTTCGTGCAACTCTCGTTGTCCTGTTGGAATATCCCAATGACATCCCATCAGTAATAATGATAGTCCGATCCGATCGGAGTTTTCTTTTGTCCAATATTGATACGGCAGCATAACAAGATAAATTCGAACCAAAAATTGAGCAACAGTTTCAACACTCGCTGCAACATCGATGTGTTTAATATTAAAATAAGGTCAGCAGATTTTTGGAGCAATCCATCATTCGCAATGAGAAACCAAGCATGAGTTGGCTTGCAGATTGAAGATTTTTAAGAGGATTACATTTTCAGCAGAGCAATGCTTTTAAGCAGGCAAACAAGTAGCTATTGTATTATTTTACTCAATTACTTTCAATAAACGTGTTCAGTTTTAAATGTGAGATATGAAGCAGCGCAACTATTATTTTGAGCGCAACTGTATACATTTAGAAATATATATATATATATATATTTATATATATATATGAGGACAAATGTGTGTCTGCAATGCTGACACACAAATGACTTTTTAATAACTAAACTGAGAAATCCCTTAAGACTAAGCCCCTTACAGCTACACACATACGGCCACTGTGTGTGTGTTTTTGTGTGTGTTTGTGTGTGTGATTAACGAGCTAAAAGTATTTTATTTGCTTTAAGTACACTGTATGTGTATAAAAATATTGCGAATAAAATGTTTGGTGCACTTATCAGCACTCATCCAAATAAAATATAAAATCGTTGCCATTATTTAAGACTACGACTAATTTCCAAATGTGATTTTTCCTATACTGTTTGATCTTCAATCTATATCTATATAAACTATATTTATTTATATATGCGTTATTAATGCTTTAAAGCTGAAAAGGCAGCGTTAGGCTAGGCTACATTGCCACAATATGGCGATAAATTGACATTGGTGGCGCCACAAAGTATGCAACACACTTTGCACAGCTGCTGTACTTAGAGGCGGCAGAGAGACAGTTTCTTCGACTGCTGCCGTAATTGAAATTCGCTTTCGCACTCAGTGACTCAATCGCTCAATCGGCCAATCAATCAATCGTTCAATCAGTCATTGTCTAAGCAACTGCGACTGCATATAAATAAATTCAATAAACTGACGACGACGGCGACGACAGCGATACCAATTGCATTTGCTGCATCTGTGTAGTGTGCAGTGTGTGTGTGTGTGTGTGTCTGTGTGTGTGTGTGTGTGTGTGTGTGTGTGTGTGTGTGTGTCTGTGTGTGTGTGTGTGTGTCTGTGCGTTTTACTCCTTCTATGCAGAAGTGGCGGTAATTGGTTGATACATATGTGTCTCGCTCTATCTCTCCATCTATCTCTATCTATCTCACTCAGGATCTGTCGCTGTCCCAGTGGAATCGAAACATCGAAAGTATCTCAGCTGCGGCCTAAATTGACAACGTCACAACGAAAGTATCTTAACTGCTGCCTTACTGCGGTTTCGATTTATAACCTCAACTCTAACTCGACTTCAAATGTTTTGTTACAATCGTCGAGCCGTTGGATGACACCCGGTCGACAACAGCAAATTGATATCCGTCTAATGTCTTCCGTCTTCGACTGAAATGCATTTGCAGTTATCCTTCTTGTTGTTATTGTGGTAAGTAGTAGTTGTAGTTGTTGTTATTGTTTTCATTCCCCTATTCTCATCCATATTTTATGATTGTGTGTTTTACATCAAAATTTAAGTTTGTGTTGCATCTTAAAAGGTTTTCTGAATTCCTCAAGTTTATCTATCAGTTTGAACTTGTCTATAGAGGCTTGAATCCCAATAAGCAGACTCTGTGTAGTCTGTGTGCAGTAAGTTCCCTGCTCGGTTACAGGGTATCGGCTAGTCACTCAACATGAATGCATTGTTGTGTGTGTTTTTTATGGTTTTTGCTGTTGCACATTTTTATTTAGCATCTGTGTCGCAGCAGGAGACTCGTCACTTTGTTTGCCTGTGTGTGTGCGTGTGCGTGTGTAAGCAACTCTGTTGCAAATGTTTACTAAACTATGCACAGGGCGAGGCAACAACAACTGCAGCAGCAGCAAAAGCCGCCAAAAGCACATCAACTAAGCGCTTGCACACACACATGTATGTACATAAGTATGAGTGTGTGTGTGTGTGTGTGCATCGCTTCTTGTTTCCATCGCACTCGAATTGAAGTAAACTTGAAAATAAGCAGATGCTGAAAGTA